GGTGAGGAAATCACCTATAGTAACAAAGGAAGGTGACCCTGAGCACTTGGTATGGATCCGGTTGTAAGGCAGCAGGGACGTTGAATGTGCCAGGATTGTTTCATGTCCGTACCTGCAAATTAACAAGCCCAAGGTTTGCTCTGAAATGAACCCAAGAGTTGTCAAGGCATAGAGTTCCGATTATGGACCATCCGCAAAGTTCTGTGTGTATAGCTAACTGATCTCTCCGCACGTCGTCCTTAGTGAAGCGTGCAAACCAGTGTTTGCATTTCCTACATCAGATGAGGAGAGCACCTCTTTCTCCTTCTGTCCTAGCCACTTTTTACAGAGGCACGATGGAGAACAAACCGCATCCCTATTTGGTTTGGTGGCAGCAGATCCTCAGATAGAAAGTCCCTACAGAGAGGGGTGAGGACAGCGGAGAAGATTATAGGAAGCTCGCTTCCTGTCATTCAGGATACTGCTTATAAGCGCTATGTGCTTAGAGCTCGAAGCGTTGTTAGAGTCCCCACACACCCACTTCATGGTCTGTTTCCATTGCTCCCCTCTGGGAAGAGGTTTTGAAATATTTCTAGCAGGACTTTCAGATTCTGTAACAGCTTTGTTCCCTACGCCATCCGTCTGGTAAACTCGCAGAATTTGTTTTTCTCGCCATGTACATGTATACATCCAAACTACATTGTGTTGTTTCTCTGTGTCATATAATATGCGTGAGTATATACATAATTTTGTATTTATTTAGTCATGTTTATGTGGTATATATTGGAGGTGGTGACCCTTTGAGAGCTGTATGCAACGAAATTTCATTTTTAATGTATGCCGATTAGTGTACATTTAAAGTGACAATGAAGTTATTCTAAGTTCTAAGTCTAAGTCATAATATGCTAAATGACCCCTAGGAGAAGTCTTCTGAATTTACTCCAGTACTTTCGGTCATCTGTCACTACCTCCATTTCTTCCCCATCTATTTGCCAGGAATTGAGAGGGCCGGATGCCATGTTCTTATTTGATACTGCCCATGGGGTTTTCATGGCAAAGATACTGAAGTGGGTTGCAATTTCCTTCTCCAGTGGCAGATTTTTTATTTTCCTGGGCTCCAAGATCACCGCAGATGGGGACCACAGCCAAGAAATTAAAAGACACTTGCTCCTGGGGAGGAAAGCTATGGCAAAGTTAAGACAGCATACTAAAAAGTAGAGACATCACCCTGACAACAAAAGTGCATATAGTCAAGGCGATGGTTTTCCCAGTTGCAATTGATGGCTGTGAAAGTTGGACCATAAGGTGTTGTGATTCCGACCCCCGAGGCCGACTTATCGGAGGGAGAAGGCTCCAAACATGAAGGAGAGGAGTTGGCCAGGCCTCCCTCTCCAGGACCCTCTTCTCTGGCAATGCCTCAGGTGTCTCCCGAAGGAGAAGAGATTGGCCAGGAGCCAGGTATCTCCTCGCAGTCGGACAGTGACGGAGATAAGTCTTGGCTGGATCCACGCCAGCGTTGGAGAGACAAGTGCACGCAGCAGAAAAGGAGGCGTGCCAGAGATTAAGCTGAGTCACTGGACTACACCCCACAGAGGATAAAAGGGGGTGAGGTGGCTATTCAGACTCTTTGACGGACAAAACTAACTACTAGCGAGTCACATTGTATCTTTGAAACAACGTTATCTGCCTTGGATTTAATATGGACTGGACTTGACAATCTTGAACTGTGTGTATCTTGTTTGGGTTTATCTGATGGAGGAACAACCCCTCCCTCTATGAGTAAAGTTCTTGGCAAGCAGCTACTGGGTTGCTGCCAATCCTCTTATCAAAAGAATTTGTTGTCTGCCAGTTTTATTTAACCCCTGGCTATCTGTTTGTGTGCGTGTGTGAGACGGGGACAGAACATAAGGAAGGCTGAGCGCCAAAGAATGGAGGCCTTTGAACTCTGGTGCTGGAGAAGACTTCTGCGAGTCCCTTGGACTGCAAGGTGATCCCACCGGTCAGTCCTAGAGGAGATCAACCCTGACTGCTCTTTAGAAGGCCAGATCCTGAAGAGGAAACTCAAATACTTTGGCCACCTAATAAGAAAGAAGGAAGGACTCCCTGGAGAACAGCCTAACGCTGGGAAAGATGGAGGGCAAAAGAAGAATGGGACAACAGAGAATGAGGTGGCTGGATGGAGTCACTGAAGCAGTCGACGTGAGCTTCAGTGGACTCCAGAGGATGGTAGAGGACAGGAAGGCCTGGAGGAACGTTGTCCATGGGGGCGCGACGGGTCGGACACGACTTTGCAACTAACAAGATGCAGCTATGATCATAGCTGGCTGGGGAATTCAGGTCTTCAAGTTGCCATGGTTGGACATCACTGCTGTGAAACCTCCGGGGATCTACATTGGTATCTTGGTTCATTCCAAATGTGATAGACAAAGGACTCAACTCTACAGAAGCCATCACTTCTCTACCTTTAATTAGAGAGTTTTGGTCTTTGATCGTCTACCTACAGACGGACTTCTTGCCCTGTGCAAAATTCCACAGAAGCTGCCCTTAGTTAGACTGGGAATTTAATGTGGGTGGGCTGATTTGGCCTGCATTTTTGGCTGATTCTCCAGATAAACCTCCATCCTCCTTTCTAGTTGCTGGAACGAATGGCTTGATTTTCCCCAGCTGGGTTCCTTTTTTTTATTTTTCCTTCGCTGGTTTTATTTCTTCCCTCTGGGGATTATCTGTTGATGTCAAGCCCTAAGGCAATACGCTTGACGAGTCCCAACGTCATCTCTGAAAATCCTTCCTAGTTACCGGGTCCCAAGGGGGGGCCCACCGACACGCACCAGTCCTGCTTATTTTATTTTATTTATTTTTTTCCACTTGTCTTTGCCACCAGAGATTGAGCGTCTCTAGAGAATCTTGGCTCAAAGAGAGTTTCTGCTTCTCTTTTAACCTTCCCCTTCTTCTTTTTAGGGAGCTGACTTTGAGATGGTTTTGTCCAATTCCACGCCGTTGCATATTTTAAATGTTTTCAGATATTTAAACCTGCAATTTGAGGCAAGTTTAGAAAGGACAAAAAAAAGAACAAAAAACCAAAAAAACAATGTGCTTTGCATTCTAGGACAAACTTACCTAATTTGAACTTGTATTCAAGGCCAATGCAGTCTCATGCAAAAAAAAATTCTCCCTTTTTTTAGGCTCAGAAATCACGAAATGTATATAGATATTAAGAAAAAATGGGGTCGTTTCTCTAGGAAAAATGCCACACAAAAGTATGTTGCATTAGAAAAGGTTTAGAAAATGCATAGCCCTTGTCACCTCACAGTTGGATTATTATTACTTATTACTTAACTATTACTATTATTATTACTACATGGGGCTACTCTTGAAAAGTGTTCGGAGACTACAGTTGGTCCAGAATGCAGCCGCGTGAGTTATAGTGGGTGCGCCTAAATACACCCACATTACACCAATTCTCCGCGAGCTGCACTGGCTCCCTATTAGTCTCCGGGTGCAATTCAAGATGTTGGTCATTACCTTTAAAGCCCTACATGGCTCAGGGCCAGGCTATCTTCGAGACCGCCTTCTACCGCATAGCTCCCAACGACCGGTAAGATCCCACAGAGTCGGTCTCCTCCGGGTCCCGTCAGCTAAACAATGCCAGCTGGCGGGCTCGCGGGGGAGGGCCTTCTCTGTGGCTGCCCCAGCTCTCTGGAACCAGTTACCTCCTGACATCCGACTACCCCCACCCTATTGGCCTTCTGAAAAGCGGTGAAGATCTGGCTCAAGATCCGGCCATGAATGGCGTGAATGAGTTTTAACATTTTTAAAGGTTTTAATGTTTTAATGTTTTTCTTTTTGACATTTTTTATGGGATTGTTCGCATTGTTTTATTCTTTGTTGTAAGCCGCCCAGAGTCCCTTGGGAGTTGGGCGGCATAGAAATGCGACAAAATAAATAAATAAATAAATAAATAAATAAATAAATAAATAAATAAATAAATAAATAAATAAATAAATAAATAAATAAATAATTAATTAATAGGTAAAAGTGGGTAGAAAAAAATATTATATTGCGCCTATTAGAACTGTCCAAGATTCCTCCCTCCCACCCTCCCTCCCCTTTCTTTCTTTCTTTCCTTCTTTCTTTCTTTCTTTCTTTCTTTCTTTCTTTCTCTTCCTCTTTCTCTCTCTGTCTCTCTCTTCCTTTCATTTTTTCTTTCTCTCTCCCTTTGCTTCTTTCTTTCTTTCTTTCTTTCTTTCTTTTCTTTCTTTCTTTCTTTCTCTTCCTCTTTCTCTCTCTGTCTCTCTCTTCCTTTCATTTTTTCTTTCTCTATCTCCCCTTTGCTTCTTCTTTCTTCTTCTTTTTCTTTCTTTCTTTCTTTCTTTCTTTCTTTCTTTCTTTCTTTCTTTCTTTCTCTTCCTCTTTCTCTCTCTGTCTCTCTCTTCCTTTCATTTTTTCTTTCTCTATCTCCCCTTTGCTTCTTTCTTTCTTTCTTTCTTTCCCTTTCTTTCTTTCCCTTTCTTCCTCTTTCTCTCTCTCTCTCTCTCTCTCTTTCATTTTTTTTTTTTCTCTCTATTTCCCCTTTGATTCTTTCTGTCATTTTTTCTTTTCCTCTCTCTCTCTTCCCTTTGCTTCTTTCTTTTTCTTTCTTTCTTTCTTTCTTTCTTTCTTTCTTTCTTTCTTTCTTTCTTTCTTTCTTTTCTTCTCTCTCTCTCTCTCTCTCTCTCTTTCTCTCTCTCCCTTCCTACCTACCTACCTACCTACCAGTGCAGCATAAGCTTTATTCTACTCACTTTTCCTAAGATGTGTATGTGTGCGTGTGTGTATGAATATTTTAAAGAACTTCTTAAAGCATTTTAAAATGATTTAAATTCAAGCTGAATTCTCCAGCCCATTTGTTTCTTAAGAATGGGGTTGGGGGGGGGGTTTGGGGGGGGGGGAAGCAAAAACTGTCAGGGGTCATGAGGTTTTTGTTTTTTTTTCATTTCACCTTCTCCTATTTTAATTGATTACCTGATCATCTTCCTTCCTAGCTGGTTGCTTCAGGACCCTGAAATGCAACTCAGGACAACCTACAAGGGTTTCACCGAGGCTGTAGATTCTTACTTTGACAACCTGATGCTCCAGGTGGTCCATCTTCAGGTAAATAACATCACACCCTTTATGTACTTCTTCCTTGTGGTTTCTTTTTTTTAAATCACACAATCTTTTATCGCACCAGAATTGAAAATTGCTGTCTTGTCCAAATGCCCCAGATTAAATTTCTAGACCTTCCTGGGATGCTATTAAATGTTCAAATGTATCCTGAGCATCCATCTATCTTTCTTTCTTTCTTTCTTTCTTTCTTTCTTTCTTTCTTTCTTTCTTTCTTTCTTTCTTTCTTTCTTTCTTTCTTTTTTCTTTCTTTCTTTCTTTCTTTCTTTCCTTACTTCCTTACTTACTTTCTTTCCCCTTGCTTCTTTCTTTTCTTTCTTTCCTTCCTCCCTTTCTTTTTTCTTTCTCTTTCTCCTTTGCTTCTTTCCTTTCTTTCTTTCTTTCTTTCTCTCTCTCTCTCTCTCTCTCTTTCTTTCTTTGCTTCTTTTTCTTTTTTCCTTTCTTTCTTTTTTTTCTTCTCTTTCTCTTTCTCTCTCTCTTTCTCATTTACTTCTTTCTTTTTCTTTCTTTTCTTTCTTTTTTCTCTCTTTCTCCTTTGCTTCTTTCTTTCCTTTCTTTCTTTCTTTCTTTCCTTTCTTTCTTTCTTTCTTTCTTTCTTTCTTTTCTTTCTTTCTTTCTTTCTTTCTTTCTCTCTCTCTCTCTCTCTCTCATTCTACTTGGCTTCTTTCTTTCCTTCCTTCCTTCCTTCCTTCCTTCCTTCCTTCCTTCCTTCCTTCCTCTCTCTCTCTTTCTCTCTCTTTCTTACTCCTTTGCTTCTTTCTTTTCTTTCTTTTCCTTTCTCTCTCTCTCTCTTTCTTTCTCCTTTGCTTCTTTCTTTTCTTTTCTTATCTTTCTTTCATTGGTGGTAAGGAGAGGGTACAGCAGGCACTTTGTGATTTACTCAATCTCTGCCTCCTGAAAGTGTTCTTGACACAGAGGGGACTTTTGGTTTCCCATTTCCGTGTCCCGGTGAGGTTCAGAGATTTTTCTAGGTCACTTTTAAAATGGGACTTTGAACCAAGCCATGGAGAGGCAAGGCAAAACTGTACAAAGTCCTCCTCCATTAATCTTCCCAAATTCAGTAATTCGATCTGCCAACTGCACCCCATTTGCTTACGTTCTCCTGCTTCTCTTCCTAGTACAAGAACGGGGGGCCAATTATAGCCATGCAGGTGGAGAACGAATACGGCTCCTATGCCCAAGACCAAAATTACATGGCCTACATAAAACAGGTAAAATTATTCCTCCACCTCTTTTGAACTGGGAAAAAAAAATGCTGAAGGCTACATAAAAGCAAAACAAGGACACACACAAAAACACACACAAATGTTGATACATCCAAGAGTTGATCTGTTTGATCTCATGGGACAAGAGACGGAGTAATATTTATTTATTAATTCCTTACATTTATACGCCATCCATCTCACTGTCCAGCAACTTTTGATAATAGACAGGAGTAATGTCTATGGAGATTCTCCGTCATCCAGGTCATGGTTGTCCCAAAGGTGCTTTTTCAAGAGACAACTGGACTTTCTTTTTCTTCTTTTGAAGATGTTTTGCTTCTCATCCAAGAAGCTTCTTCAGCTCTGACTGGATGGTGGGGAATGGAAGGATTTATACTCCTTGCAGACAGCTGGTCATTTGCATCCTTGTAGAGTGTTGTTGAGGCCACCTGGAGGCTTATCAAAGAGGCCATCTATGACAAAATTGAACAGCCCTCTCTCAACAGAGGGGGAGAGATATGACATCACTTATCTCCAATCTACAACACAGTCCTTTCAACAGTTCCAAAAAGGCTCCACACCCATTTGCCCCATTCAGGTGACTCTGAGGACACAGACAAACCTCCAGGTGGCCTCAACGACTTCCTAAAATGATGCAAATGACCAGCTGTCTGCAAGGAGTATAAATCCTTCTGTTCCCCACCATCCAGTCAGAGCTGAAGAAGCTTCTTGGATGAGAAGTGAAACCTCTTCAAAGAAAACAAAAACAGAAAGTCCAGTTGCCTCTTGAAAAAGCACTTTTGGGACAGACACAAGTAATATATGAAAGTTAGTGGGGGCAGGGGCGGGGGGGGAGATGCTGGTTAAATAGTAAGATGATTTTATTTAATCCGTTTTATTTTACTATTTTTTAAATGTATTGACTGCCCATCTCCAAAGCTCCTAAGAGCAACAGAGCCAATTCTTAGACGTTTTGGTCGTCACGATGTAAAAAAAAGATGTGGAGACTCTGGAAAGAGTGCAGAGAAGAGCAACAAAGATGATTAGGGGACTAAAGGCTAAAACATATGAAGAACAGTTGCAGGAACTGGGTATGTCTAGTTTGATGAAAAGAAGGATTAGGGGAGACATGATAGCAGTGTTCCGATATCTCAGGGGCTGCCCCAAAGAAGAGGGAGTCAGGCTATTCTCCAAAGAACCTGAGGGCAGGACAAGAAGTAATGGGTGGAAACGAATCAAGGAGCAAGAATCAAGCAAAGTAGAACTAAGGAGAAATTTCCTGACAGTGAGAACAATTAACCAGTTGAACAACTTGCGTCCAGAAGTTATAAATGCTCCAACACTGGAAGTTTTTAAGAAGATGTTGGATAACCATTTATCTGAAGTGGTGTAGGGTTTCCTGCCTGGGAAGGGGGTTGGACTAGAAGACCTCCAAGGTCCCTTCCAACTCTGTCATTCTGTTAAGACATGCGAAGGTTAGACAGCCATCCATCAAGGCCGCTTTAATTGGGATTCCTCCACAGAACAGGGGTGAGAGTGGATGGTTCCTTCCCATTCTCGAACCCAGGGATCTCTGAGCTTTCTCGCAAAAGCAGAGAGATCTCCCTGCTCTTCCAAAGCAAATAGTTTGTGAATCACGAAACGAACCTTTGGCCCTGTCGTAAAAGACGTGGAGCCTCCTTTGCCGTAGATTATTTTTTGCAAAGTAGACCGAAGCTGCCTTGCAAAACCCGGTAATCCGGGGCTAAAGCAGAAGGACGGCTAATTTGATTAAGGTCTCCTGCTGTCATCTCACCCAGCGAAGAGAACTTGGCAAGTTCCCACTTGTGTCCTGGGCAGGGCAGGTCCTGGGAGATGATCAGTTTCAGCTTGGCAAATCCTCCTGAAGCTGCACACACACACACACACACACACACACACACACCCATCCCTTACCTGGTGGAAATGCTTGTGTCAGCGTTCCAGAAAAACCCAACTCCAATTAAAAACTCCGAGACAAGCATTTTCTCAAAGTTCCATTTATGAGAGTAGGTATGACTGAATGAAAACCCGAATCTGAGAGTTCTGGGTTTTTCACTCAGTAAATCAAAACCCCGAAAAGCATCCCCTCACTCATCAGTCCATCGCATGTGACAATCACCATCCGTCCCGTCTCGAGACATCACTCCAACCACTCCTTCTCCAGATGCAGGATTGTCCTGACCTCGACCGAAGGGAAGAATGCTATTTCGTCTAACGACATTCCCTCTACTAAATCCCCTCCTCCTACTTTCCCACACACGAGAAAGTGGCAGCGTGGAAGCCTCCGGTGCTAATATGGTTTCCAAAGCTGACAGCTTGCTGGTGCGGAGGAATAAATGCCAGGGTTACCTGGTTGACTGAATAGAATAGAATAGAATAGAATAGAATAGAATAGAATAGAATAGAATAGAATAGAATAGAATAGAATAGAATTATGGAGTGGAGTGGAGTGGAGTGGAGTACAATACAATACAATACAATACAATACAATACAATACAATACAATACAATACAATACAATAGATATTGGAATGAAAAAGTATAGAATAGAAATAGAATAGAAATAATAGAATAGAATAGAATAGAATAGAATAATAGAATAGAATAGAATAGAATAGAATAGAATAGAATAGAATAGAATAGAATTCAATTCAATTCAATTCAATTCAATTCTTTATTGGCCAAGTGTGATTGGACACACAAGGAATTTTTCTTTGGTGCACATGCTCTCAGTGTACATAAAAAGACAAGATACATTTGTTAAGAATCATAAGGCACAACACTTAATGATAGTCATAGGGGACAAATAAGCAATCGAATCATGCTAGGAAACAATATAAATCGTAAGGATACCAGCAACAAGGTTACAGTCATAAGTGGAAGGAGATGGGTGATGGGAACGACGAGAAAATTAATAGTAATGCAGACTTAGTAAATAGTTTGACAGTGTTGAGGGAATTATTTGTTTAGCAGAGTGATGGCGTTCGGGAAAGAACTGTCCTTGTGTCTAGTTGTTCTGGTGTGCAGTGCTCTATAGTGTCGTTTTGAGGGTAGGAGTTGAAACAGTTTATGTCCAGGATGCGAGGGGTCTGTAGATATTTTCACAGCCCTCTTTTTGACTCGTGCAGTAGACAGGTCCTCAATGGAAGGCAGGTTGGCAGCCATTGTTTTTTTCTGCAGTTCTAATGATCCTCTGAAGTCTGTGTCCGTCTTGTTGGGTTGCATAACAGAGGCAATCTGTAACGATTGGCAGGAAATCATGAAACCTCTCCATTGACCAGGACTAATATCAGAAATCATCTTGATCAACAACAGATGTTTTTCAGCTTCTCTTGATCCTCGCGACATCTGGGTCAAGATGTTTATGGAGATTCTCAATCATCAATCTCAATCTCACGGTTGTCCCAAACTTTTGCTTTTCCAAAAGGCAACTGGACTTTTCTTGGTTTAACTTCAGTTAGAACTGAAGAAGCTTCTTGGATGAGAAACGAAACGTTTTCCGAGAAGAAAAAAAACCCGAAGAAAATCCACTTTGCATTTTGGAGAAGCATCTTTGGGACATCTGGGTCAGAATGACATTGGTCCCGGAAAGAGTTAACTCCCTTCAAACCGTGGTTTGTTCCTGATCCTGGCTTCTTCTGGGGGTATCGGCTCTGAACTTCAGCATGGTGATCCTTCTTTCTCGCAGGCCCTGTTGAGCAGGAACGTGGTGGAATTATTGGTGACCTCGGATAATAAAGATGGATTGAGTGCCGGCACTGTAGAAGGAGGTAAGTTGTGTGATTCTGGAGCAAAGTTGTGACAGAGATTTTTTTAAAAAAACACGTGCCACTGTACAACTATCTGCTGCAATTTTACAAAAGGGCAGTGTGGTGTTTTTTTTTTGTTTAAACGCACACGAGTAACCAGCATCGCTGTAAAGCATTTGTATATGCCATAGAAAGCTTTTGAAATCATTCCTCTATTTAAAGCTCCGAGTGTAAGGGTAATGCTGGACTTGTAACCAATTCATCTAGCAAACATTCAAAGTTTCAATGGTACTGGGAAAAAAAGAGACTTGCCACCAATTGATTAAAAATACGGTTGATTGCTTAGAATTTAAATAACTGCATTCCCCCCAACCCACTCCTCGTTTTGCTTTGCCGATAAAGCCTCTAATCCTTCTGGTAGTAGAACAATATTGGTGAGGCTAATGAGAAAGAATTTGGGTATATATATAATGCTTAAAATTGCTAGGCTTGTCTGCTGCCGGCCATGGCTTCTGACACCCTATTGTTACGTTCAATTTTCCTTATTTTATACGGCCTGCATGCGAAGGATGAATGCATAATTTATATGGTCGGCTTCCAGAATGTGTGTGCGTGTGTCTTTATCTGTGCGTCTTTGCCTGCTAATTTATTAAAACTTATTAGTAGCTTTTTTTTGGCGGGGGGGTGTTCTGTCCCAGCTATGGACCCCAAAGAACGCAGCACACACAAAGTCCCTACAAACCTTAGTTTACTAATTAAGGACTACTAATGAGCTTTCTACTGTACACAAGTACAGTTTAAATCAGTCTTTTCTGAACAAGGGCTGTTAATTTAACTTCATTAACAGCCGACAAGAATCCAAAGAATAATAACTCAATTCTGAGGCACAGTATTTCAGATAACCGTAATCTTACTGAGGTTGGCAGAATGCCCAGAAGCAATTTGCAGGAAAACTGATAAGAGAGAAACAAGAGCCGAATCAAACGTTTCTGAAATCAAGACGCGAAGGAATATGAACGAAGTTGTTTCCTGCAAATTGCACCAGTCGTCGTCCTTCCTTAAATAGGCTAGGGGAGTGGCCAATTAGCCCCAAGCCTTACTCTCGAGGAGACCTCCTCCTGAGGAGCCACTCCTGCCTTTTAACAGCTCTGCACGCTTGTGCATCGAGAGGAGGCTCCTTCTCTTCTTCCTCTTCACTTATGGGAGCTTCTGGAGGTTCTGAAGGTCCTGGCTGAATCCCCGCCTCTGGCACCACATCTTCTCCAGCCTCCTCATTGTCTTGACTCGAGCGCCAGCTGCACAGGCTGCTGGCGCAGCATCACACCAGCTTCCTCGCTGTCGGAATCAGCTTCTAACTGCACAGGCCGCTGATGGGCCACAACGGGGCGGGGGTGTCCGTCATAACTTTGAATGGTCACTGAATGGCCATTCGTAACTCAAGGGATTATCTCTACCACATTTCTTTTCTAGTTGTTGAGGTTGGGCTATAGAAGTCTCGACCACTGCAATATACAGAAGTGCCTTTGCAGCTGTCCTGAAATTTTGCAAGCTGGATCTGTAACCCTGGTTTATATTTGTGGTCCATATTTCTGAAATCAACATTAAAAAAGGATGCACAAGAGGCAATCTGTAACGATTGGCAGGAAATCATTTCAGTTTTCCTTACTTTATGCGGCCTGCATGCGAAGGATGAGTGCATCATTTATACGGTCGGCTTCCAGAATATATGTGTGTGTGTGTGTGCGTCTCTGCCTGCTAATTTATTAAAACTTATTTTCATCCCATTAGTATGCTCCAGGCAAGTCACCCAATCAGATATGCAGAAAGAACTTCACTAAACCTAATCAAAACGATAAGATGAACTTCGTGATGACAGATCACAATGCTCTGGTTCAAAATTAAAGGGTTTGCCCTTCTCTGCAATTATTCGAGAGATGGCCAAAATGAATGAATGAATGAATAAATCAGGAGTCGGCAATCTTAAACACTCAAAGAGCCACAAAGGTCCTAACCGGAAACCCCGCCCCCATTCAATTCTGGAGCCGACCAGAAGTCTGGTTCCCCCACCATAGAGTTTCCTCCTAGCACGGCGTCTTTTTTCCTCTACCTGTCCTAACCGAAAGCCCTATCAATTGTGGAGCCAACCGGCGACGGAGCCGCAGCAGAGGGATGAAAGAGCCCCATGCGGCTCCAGAGCCACGGGTTGCCAACTCCTGGAATAAATAAATGCAAACTAGGCAATCTAATGAAGAGAAGGACTAGGCATGACTTGATAGCTGTCTTCCAATATTTGAGGGCCTGTCACAAGAGAAGAGAGGGTCAACTCAGTCTCCAAAGCCCTTGAGGGCAGGACAAGAAGGAACGGATGGAGACTTCTCAAAGAGAGAGCCAACCTAGAACTATGGAGAAATTTCCTGACAGTGAGAACAATTAGTGCGTAGAACGGCTTGCCTTCAAAAGTTGTGAGTTCTCCAAACCCTGAAAGTTTTCAAGAGGAAACTGGGCAGCCATTTGGTCAGAGTGGTGTAGAATCTCTGTTGTGGCTCCGTTACTGGAGCCTGTGTCATCGTCAGGAGAGGACTTCAAGAGTGAAGGGGAGGAGTTGGCAAGGCCTCCCTCTCCAGGACCCTCCTCTCTGGCAATGCCTTCGGTGTCCGCCGAAGGGCAAGAGATAGGGCCAGGGCCAAGCACGTCCACGCAGCCACAGATGGACAGTGATGAGGGTAATGAGTCTTGGCTGGATCCACGCCAGCGTCGCAGAGATAAGCGCGTGCAACAGAAGGAAAGGCGTGCCCGAGATTAGGCTGAGTCACTGGACCACACCCCACAGGGTATAAAAGGGAGCGTGGTGGCCAGTCAAACCTTGTGATGAACAAAGCTGAAAGCTTCCACGCCATTCTGCATTGCCGGACTTTTGCTTTAAGACTTTGCTGGAGTATCTCTGGACTTGATTAATTCCATAATTATTGAGCTGCTTTCCTTTGATGTATCAGAAGTGGGGAGAAGTTATCTCTCCTCTTTGTAAATAATAAACTCTTGGCAGGCAGCCACTAGGTTGTTGCCAAGTATCGTTATCATAAGGAAAAGGATTTTGCCGGCTGGTTTGGTCTTTAACTCTTGAACGTCTGTTGGTGTGTGTGCGTGGGGTTGGGGACAGAACAATCTCCTGCTTGAGCAATGGGTTGGACTAGGTCCCTTCCTACTCTGCGATTCTGTAAATAAACTCTACCTGGGTCTTTTTCCAAAGGCTTAGCTCGATTCATGTCATTTTCTCGATACTATTCTTTTGCCCATTCTTAATGTGGAGATTCTCTTTGCTGGCTTCGAAGCAGAATCACTTGCGATGCCCACCACATTAATAAAACCTGAGCGTTCACGGCTCCTTCCTGTTGGCCTTTGCCGTTTTGGAAACCCAAGCCCAGAGGACTGCCCAGCAGGCTGCCCATTTGGGCTATCACACCTCCCGCTTAAAATATTTCCTCCTTCTCGTACGTGGCAGCCATTCCCTTCTTTGTCCAGGTGGAGGCGCTCTCTCCCTTCTAGTGCTAGGGACCATGGAGGTGGGAGGGGGGGCTGGAGAGAGCTTTGAGCTCTCGTCGTCCTGTGTTTTTGCACAAATGTGTTGACTGCCTGCGAGCGCTTGCTTGCTTGCTCGCTCGCTCGCTCATTCAGCCTCTGGCTGGGAGTTGTGTGTCCCGTGCGCCTGGATCCCACAGCCCCTGCTTCAGATGTCACAACAATCTGCTCATTAGAGTCAACATGTCAAGTTAATCAGGAATGCAGAATAACGAGGACCCTGAGTGATGCCGCGATGATGACAACCTCGGAAGAGGTGGCTGTGAGAATACACAAAGGGTGCACGAAAAGGCAGGCTGGAGAAAAGGAGAAGAAAGGATGCGTTTTCTTTCTTCCCGCGAGAGAAAATGCCATCCTGGATGGTTTAGGTGCAGTTCTCTCTCTCTCTCTCTCTTTTTTTCTCTCTCCGACTGTCCAATTAACTGTCGAGATCCAGTTTTGCGCCCTGGATTTTATATCCGCGCTGCCTTGGGAGGGGGGTGGTCTTCGTTTTGGAAAGAACTAAGCTGCTAGTCCCTCTGGTTTATCAATAAAGCACTATGCGTGCTTGCAATTGTCGTTGTCCTGAATAGACGCTACAGGTTCATTCTCGACTTAACAAACGGTTCATTTAGGGACCGTGTGGCCGTTTCTCCACACTTAACGACCGTTTCAGCATTTCCCCCATAGTCACATTTATTTATTTATTTATTTATTTATTTATTTATTTATTTATTTATTTATTTAACTTTTATACCGCCCTTCTCCCGAAGGACTCAGGGCGGTGTACAGCCATATTAAAACAAACATATACCCAAAAATTTAAAAACAATTTAAAATATATAAAAATTTGGCCCTTATGTTAAAAACTACAGGCACCCAGTTAAAATTAAAAGAGACCTTGGTGGCGCAGCAGACTAAAGTGCTGTTAAGTAGCACCAGCTGCCTGCAATTACTGCAAGTTCAAATCTCACCAGGCTCAAGGTTGACTCAGCCTTCCATCCTTTCGAGGTAGGTAAAATGAGGACCCGGATTGTGGGGGCAATAAGCTGACTTTGTATAAAAAAGAACACCGCTTGGGGAGGCCAAAAGCCCTACTAAGCAGGTATATACAAAAGTATGAAGGCTATTGCTTGACGCATTGTAAGCCGCCCTGAGTCTCCGGAGAAGGGCGGCATATAAATCGAACCAATAAATAAATAAAATAAATAAAATTCATTTTCTAAGCCAGCCCGGCCTGTTGGAACAAAAGAGTCTTAAGGGCACGGCGAAATGTATGTAAGTCGGGGATCATGCGGATCTCCGGGGGCAGTTCACATGATCAAAATTAAAATGCTTGGAAACTTGATTCGTATTTACGTCGGTTGCCATGTCCTGGCGTCATGCGATCCGCTTTTTGCAATCTTCCGACGAGCCAAGTCAACGGGCAAAATGAGGCAAAAGTCACCAAACAAATGATTCGCTTAGCAACCTAGGTTTTGGGCTCAGTTGTGGCCATAAGTCGATAACTACCTGTGTGATCATGTTCTTCTGCACCTACCTAGAACAAAAATGATAGTGTGTCTCAAATTAAGATTCTCGCAGTCTCTTTAGAATTTAGAATAGAATAGAGCCGGAAGGGACCTTGGAGGTCTTCTAGTCCAGCCCCCTGCTCAAGCAGGAGAACCTATACCAGTGATATGGTGAACCTTTTTGGCACCGAGTGCCCAAACCGGAACACACGTGTGTGTGTATCCATGTGCACGCGCCGGAGTGCAAAAAAATCCGAAGAGCAGCTGGCTGGCACGCACATGCCTGGTTTTTGGCCGTTTTTGGCTGTTTTCATGCCGTTTTTGGCTGTTTCAGGCTGTTTTTTTGGCCGTTTTCAGGCTGTTTTTTGGCGCTCCGGTGCCCGTGAAGACCAACTTGGCGACAGCACGCGTGCCAACAGGGAGGGTTCTGCGTGCCACCTCTGGCACGTGCCATAGGTTTGCCATCACATGGCAAACCATACATAAGAGCCGAGGTGGTGCAGTGGTTAGAGTGCAGTACTGCAGCTATTTCAGCTGACTGCTAGTTCAGCAGATCAGCGGATCAAATCTCACCGGCTCATGGTTGACTCAGCCTTCCATCCTTCCGAGGTGGGTAAAATGAGGACCCAGATTGTTAGGGGGCAATATGCTATTTAGTATACTGTCTTTGGTGTAAGCTGCCCAGAGTCCTCGGAGAGTGGGCGACATAGAAATATGAATAATAAATAATAAATAATAATAAATCACTGACCTATACTATTTCACAGCCTCATAGTCTCTTTAACAAGATTCATTTTGAAGAATGGGATATATTTATTTATTTATTTATTGGTTGATTAATTGAATTTATATTGCTGCCTATTCGCCCCCTGGCAACTCATGGTGGCTTACAGAAGAACGTAGAAGAAGTACAAGATTTCCCGTCTATAATAGATATATCCCTAACTAATTTAAGATGGATTTTGTTTTGTCTTTCCTACTGACTTCCCACGAGCTGAAGGCTCTGTTCCTTGCTAATGAAGGAGCTTGCGGATGATGGTTTATGTAACTCCCTCCTGAGTCCATGTCAGTCTGAGAGTCTGCTTGTATGAGCAGAACCTTCGAATCTCAGGCAGTGCAGGCAGTCCTCGACGTACGACCTCCATTTCCACTGCTGAGCAAAGCAGTCGTTAATTGACTAGCACCCAATGTCCTTCTCTTCCACTTAAGGACCACAGCAAAAAAAAAAAAAAAAAAGAAAGAAAGAAATATAATTAACAATTGCCTTACTTAGCCACAGAAATTCTAGTCCCAGTTATGGTAAATCAAGGATTTCCTATGAATTAACTTCTTGTAGCCTAGTTGAAATCTTTCCTTGTTCTGCCCGTTTTCCCCTCTTTCTCAATAGCTTTGGCCACGATCAACTTTCAGAAGATGGAGCGGGGACTCCTGTCCTCCCTCAAGAAGCTGCAGGTAAGGAAGATGCTTCCCATGGTGAGACCTCACCTTCTAAGGCTCTTGCTGTGTGTTTTATGATCCGAGAACTAGGAGGGTACCATGTGCCAAAAATGCTGATATTTCTTGATTCCTGGAACTGTATTTATTTACCACTAGCTATAACCCGGCATTGCCCGACTATTTATTTATCCCAATCCTGTATTAGACAGGAAGAGCAACTTCACCCTGAGCCCTAATTTCGGCGAGAATTAAATTAGTTAAAAATGTTTTCCCTGTGCCCCCAGAAGCATCCAGTAAAATGATACCGCCTTGTTGTTTTGCTAGCTGATCATTGATCATTTGGTATGCTTTTTTCCTGATCTTGGTTTTATTGATCATGGCCATACATTTGTCCTCAAGAATAATCAAAGCCTTGTTGAAAATGTCCAGACTCAACGTAATTTCTAATGTTGGATTTTCCCCTTTACCAGAGGGAGCCCCCTTGTGGAGTACTGTGAAGCCATTACCATGGCAAGTCCACTGTGCTGCACAGTAGAAGCCATTTTAAGGCAGTACAGTAGAAGCCATTTTAAGGCACAACATCTTAACAGAACACTCCCTCCCCCCCGAGGGGTGTTAGGGGTGTCTTACCCCCACAGTATTTATTTCCAGAGAGTAAGTCATCTGTGTACCAAGTTTGGTTGAAATTGCTCGAGGCGTTCCAGAGTTATGCTGGAACATACATACACACAGCCATTTTTATATATATAGAAGATTGCTTTCCAAATGTAAATTCTTCCCTGGGTTTCTTTGGGGTTCATTTTCTGCAGCCCCAAATGGTCATTAGAGACCCATAATTGGTCGCTGCTCAATTGTGCCCCAAAGAATTTATACCCAGACAAAGCTGGCTTTCGGGAAATATACAGTATTTACTTGATGTGCTGTTGGAAAATTGTCTTTAGCCTTCTTGTCAACAATCAGTAAATAACCCACTGAGAAGCTCATTGATTCCTCGGTCGGTGCAGGATCTGGACGTGAAGAAGATAACAAAAGTCATTTCCGTTTTCATTGAATCCTACCGTCGCATTCTGTGTTCATTTTATTTTTTAAAAAGAGACATTCATTCTCTGATCTTCACCCAGGAGGTCTTTCAAAGTGGCTTATATCTCAGTAACGCTAGATACTGGCCTGTAGGCTCGAATTCTAAAAGGTACAGCATTCAAGGAAAAAGAGACGGGAAAGAAGAGAGAGAGAGGAAAAAATAGACAAATCAAGGATGAGTTAATGTAACACAATGGTATTACAATCCCAGAGATTGAATTCTGGTCCTGCCTTAGGCGTGAAAGCTGGTTGGGTGACTTTGGGCCAATCTCCAGGAGATGATAGCTCTAGTCCTGTAGTAAGCATTAATGCCAGCTAGGTGACTTTGGGCCAATCACCAGGAGACCATGAGTTCTAGTCCTGCCTTAGGCATGAAAGCTGGCTGGGTGACTTTGGGCCAATCACCAGGAGACAGTGAGTTCTAATACCACCTTAAGCATGAAAGCTGGCTGGGTGACTTTGGGCCAATCACCAGGAGACTGGGAGTTCTAGTCCTGCCTTAAGGCATGAAAGCCGGCTGGGTGACTTTGAGCCAATTACCAGGAGATGATGAGTTCTAGTCCTGTCTTAAGCATTAATGCCAGCTAGGTGACTTTGAGCCAATTACCAGGAGATGATGAGTTCTAGTCCTGTCTTAAGCATTAATGCCAGCTAGGTGACTTTGGGCCAATCACCAGGAGACTGGGAGTTCTAGTGTCAAAAATTCCTGAGTTCAGTTAAATGATTGCAGAGTGAACATGTACTCATCAATGTCAAACGAGGCCATGTTTTCACCTGGTGTGTTTGCCCTTTTTCAGCATGACATGCCAATGATGGTGATGGAGTACTGGACTGGTTGGTTTGATAGCTGGGGAGGACCTCACAACGTCTTTGATGCAGATGGTAAGTTGTTTGCTGGCGCTGTTCCTTTTCTATCTGTGTTCCCAACCCCTCCTCCTTTATTCTAATTATTGCTCCAAACAATAGTAGAAGCAGAGGTATCTCTCCAGATGTGGTCTTCTGGCATGGCTTTGTGTTACCAAAGTGTCTGACTTTTGATCACGTGACCCCGGGGATATTGCAATGGTCGTTAAAGTGTGAAAAACAGTCAGAAGTCCCTTTTTCCAATGCCATTGTAACTTCGGACAGTCACTAAGTGAACTACCGTACGTCGAGGACTACCTGTAGTAACAAGAATAACGCGCCAGTGCCGTGCTACACTAGAAGCTTTGTTTCTCTCTGCAGAGATGCTGGATAGGGTTGAGGATGTCCTCCGGGCAGGAGCCTCCATCAATCTGTACATGTTCCACGGAGGGACCAATTTTGGATTCATGAACGGCGCTCTGCATTTTAACGACTACAAGGCAGCCATCACCAGCTATGGTAAGGTTCCTGGAAACCATCTTTTCCCTTTGAGCTTTGAGGCCTGCCACAAATTCTACTGTGGGAAAATGGGAGAGGGGATTGTATGGAGGGAAGATGATATGTAGTCAAAATAACATTCTTTCTAGAAGTCAAGGCCATTGTGCCCTGGAGCTGTGCAGGGATAGCAGTCTTCCAATATTTGAGGGGCTGCCACAGAGAGGAAGGGGGTCAAGCTATTTTCCAAAGCACCTGAAGGCCAGACAAAGAATAATAATGGATGGAAACTCATCAAGGAGAGATTCAACCTGGAAATAAGGAGGAATTTTCCGACAGTGAGAACAATCCACCCATGGAACAGAAGTTGCCTTCGGAAGTTGTGGGAGCTTCATCACTGGAAGCTTTCAAGAAGAGACTGGACTGCCATCGGTCAAAAGTGGTGTAGGGTCTCCTGTTTGGGTGGGGAGTTGGACTAGATCAGGGTGAAATACTCCCAGATCAGACCGGATCGGCCGATCCGGTAGCGATTTTTCCCTGTGGTTCGGCGATCCGGTAGCGATCGCCGCCCGGGTGTCATTACTTCCTGGTTTAAACCAGGAAGTAATGTTTTTTTTACCTTCTGCACATGTGCAGAAGATTTTGCGCACACGCAGAAGAGCGAAGCGAGCACGCGCGCGTGGCTTGCACACTTCTGAACCGGTAAGGAAGGTAAGTATATTTCACCCCTGGACTAAATAACCTACAAGGTCCCTTCCAACTCTGTTAATTTGTATTATTTATTATTATTATTATTATTAAATTGCTATGATGCCCTACTTGTGGTGGTGATGATGTTACCTACTTAGGGTAATGAAACCTCTGCAAGAAAACACACAAGCTCAGAGAGCTACAAATATTCTCCTTTGTCGGTGTCCTACTGGCGCTGGTACAGCGAATTTAAGAGTGAGCTAAAAATCAGATGATAGGTATGATTGTCTTATAATGTCTGTCTGTCTGCATGTGTGTTACATTCTTGTGATTTTCATGACATGCACCTATAAGTAAGGCAAACTAGGGTTTGTTTGTTTTTTTTCTATTTGCTCTACTTTTCTTTTTTCCAGATTACGATGCCGTGCTGACCGAGGCTGGAGATTACACCGCCAAGTACTTCAAACTGCGCAAGCTTTTTTCCAGCATGATAGGTAATTGCACGGACGAAGGAGCAGCTCCTCTGCCTTCTCTGGAGGCCAGAGGAGCCCAGCTTGAAAACTGGCTCACCCCACTGGGCGTGTGGGACCCCCAGATGCTTCCGGTGTAGCTTCATTCTGTTGATCGGCCGGGGGGGGCTTCTTTTTGGGGGGGGGGGGGGGGGGGGGAAGGGGGAAGAGGGAGATTTGTTATGAGACTGGTGACTTCCAAGGCTGTAAGGAAGGATGAGTCCTTATATAACAACATTGGTGGACTTCAAGAAAATGCTGATTGGAAAGAGGAGAGGGGTGAGGACAGGCGGGAAGGGGAGGGAGTGAGGGAGAAAGGAAGGAATAGGGAGGGAGGGAAGGGGGTGGGAGTGGGAAGGGGAGGCAGGGAGGGAGGGAAAGAGAGAAACTTGTACATCTTCCCTTTTTCCTTCCTTCCTTCCTTCCTTCCTTCCTTCCTTCCTTCCTTCCTTCCTTCCTTCCTTCCTTCCTTCCTTCCTTCGTCTTTTCTTTGTAGAACTCTTCGCTGGGTAGTAAATACCTCCTCCCTGTTTGTAAGCATTTGCTTTGACCCTGGGAAGAGGCTTTTTCAGTACTGCCTCCTTTGAGTCGGGCTTCATTCTGGATGACATTTATTTATTTATTTATTTTATTAAATTTCTATACCGCCCTACTCCCGAAGGACTCAGGGCGGTGAACAGCCACAGAGTAAAACACATAAATACAAAGTTTAAAATAGAGTAAGAACTCTATTAGTTCTAATAGAGTAAGTAAATAATTTGGCTGAGACAAATTTAAAATACCCCATAATTTAAAAACAAATTAAAATTTACATTTAAAAAGGGGAGAAGATGAAATAAAGGCCAGCTTGATGAAATAAAAAAGTCTTAAGCGCACGACGGAAGGTGCATAGATCCGGGATCTTCCGTATCTCCGGGGGGAGCTCGTTCCAGATCGTAGGTGCCCCCACAGAGAAGGCTCTCCCCCTAGGGGCCGCCAGTCGACATTGTTTGGCCAACGGCACCCGGAGGAGCCCTTCTCTATGGGAGCGTACTGGCCAGTGGGAGGCTATTGGTGGTAGCAGGCGGTCCCGTAGATAACCAGGTCCTAAGCCATGGAGCACTTTAAAGCGGTAAATTCCTGAATTTTCTCCATAGTACACTAGCGCAGTGTTTTACCATTGCCTTCCTCGAGGGTGTGGTTTTTGGTTTTTTTTCATCTTACCAATTTAGCCAAGAGCCCTAACATTTCCTCCATTTAGGGTTAACCGGGTCTGGCCATGCTTAGCTTTTGTAGATCAGCTAGGTCCTACCCCTCATTCAACAAAGAGAATGATCCTCCCTCCCTCCCATATCTCAAATTCACCTAACAACTGCCTTGTGTCAACTTGCAAAGCATCCCTGCTCTCGAGTTGCCATAGGCAGGGGGGGGATGGGAAAATGAACTTTGCAGCCGCAGCGAGGCAGCACGTCAGTCAGAACAAAAGCACATTCCAGCCATATCTCTGTCAAGGCCATCTCCGAGGTGACCCACAGTGGCCAGAGGGGAGTGATCTCTACAACCCGCAAAATTGCTTTGTTGGAGAATGTGACTGATGATACACCTTGTGGGGAGGGGGGAAACAGGGTCAGAGCCGGAACATAAATTAAGTGGGGTCAGAGTTGGCTTCACTTGGAGCGTGCCGACGTGAAACTCCTGATAAATAACTGGATTTCTTTTGAAGCTTGGCTTGAGGCTCATTATTTAATTAGAGCATCGGAACCCTGAAATCTTGCTTAGCAAGATAAATTTTGGGCTCAGTTGTGGTCGTAAGTCAAGGACTAACTAAGCTCTTCTCAAGCCAAAAAAAATTGCGAAATTGAGTAATTTCTCCCACCAATCCAGTGCTTGAATTTAACCAGGTTCTTTTTCTTTCCTTCTCCAAAGAGACTCCTCTCCCTCCGCCTCCGATAATTTCACATAAAGCATCCTACGGGGCCATCCTGATGCAGCAATATATCTCACTGTGGGAATTGTTGTCGGGAATGGAGGTAAGTCATTCTCCAGGGAGGGATGTGCTTCAATTGGCCCAGATGATGGAAATGGAACAAACCACACATTAAAGAACTCAGCATGTATCTTAAGTGTTTGGATATCGCTGGTGTGAGATGGATGGATAAGATGCACGCTTAAAATGGAATCATTGTAAAAGGTAAAGGTTCCCCTTGTACATATGTGCTAGTCGTTCCCGACTCTAGGGGGCAGTGCTCATCTCCATTTCAAAGCCGAAGAGCCAGCGCTGTCCGAAGACGTCTCCGTGGTCATGTGGCCGGCATGACTCAATGCCAGAGGCTCATGGAACGCTGTTCCCTTCCCACCAAAGGTGGTCCCTATTTTTCTACTTGCATTTTTTACGTGCTTTCGAACTGCTAGGTTGGCAGAAGCTGGGACAAGTCACGGGAGCTCACCCTGTTACGCAGCACTAGGGATTCGAACCACTGAACTGCTGACCTTTCGATCGACAAGCTCAGCGTCTTAGTCACTAACCCTAACCCTAACCTTCAGCATTTTTTTTTTCAGTTCAAAAGAGGTGGAGGAATAATTTTACCTGTTTTAGGTAGGCCATGTAATTTTGATCTTGGGCACAGGAGCCGTATTCGTTCTCCACCTGCATGGCTATAATTGGCCCTCCGTTCTTGTACTAGGAAGAGAAGCAGGAGAACATACAAGGGACTTTTATGTAAACAGAGAGTAAATCTCACTCCCTTCTAGCACTGATGATATTACCTAGCTTGGGTAATGAAACGTCTACCGGAAAACAACCAAACTCAAAATGCACCAAGCACCCTCAAAGCAAAACTCTACCCCTATTTTTTTCTCTCTCCTTATTATCACCAAGGTGTTAACTTATTATGGAGCCGCGTCTGTTTCACGAACCCGTTGAGGGTAAAAAAAAAAAAACACCAAACACCTTATTTCTTAGCAGTCGCTGTTAGGATCCTGTTCTGGTTTCTGGTTTCTGCAGATTGTGAAGTCAGAGTACCCCATTAACATGGAGAACCTGCCGATAAATAATGGGAACGGACAGGCGTTTGGCTACACCCTCTATGAGACGGTCATCCTTGGCGGAGGGACCTTGTATTCCCGGGATTACATCCGAGATCGAGCACAGGTGAGGATGGACGTGTGAGATTACTACCTCCTTCTGGGAGGGAAAAACTGGCTCGATCTTAGTCAACTCATAATTTACCCTTGGATCGAGGTGACTTTCTTGGAGTAAACATATTGACACTCTGGTGCCATAATTCCCAGGTGTTTAGGTCATTTGGCCCTAATACAGGCAGTCCTCCACTTACGACAGTTTGTTTAGTGACTGTTTGAAGTTACAATGGAACTGGAAAAAGGGACATACACTAGTGGCCAAAATTGTGGAAACCTTTTGGGGGGGAAAGTGTATTTTCTAAAAATAGCTCATAACACCACTTTTTTTTTTTTTTTTTAGAGTACTACCATAAAATTATATATCAATGGAAAAATAATTTAATCAAGAATGTAATGCAATAACTTTTATGAAGGAGTTGCTATTAGAATAGCCGTTACAGTATAAAGAAGAAGAGTGAAACACATAGAAAAAACGAGATATATAAAAATGATCACCATGTTAGTTCATACTTCGTTGGGTAACCTTTAGCATGAATGACGGCCTTACAACGTCTTCCCATGGAGTGAACCAAGTCTTTGAGTTCTGCAGCTGTTATCATGTGAAACCAAGATTGAATGATGGCTTCTATTAACTGGGTTTTATTGCTGGGTGGCTTCTGACTAACAAGTTTCTTTCGTCAGCTCCATCAATTTTCAATTGGGTTAAGGTCTGGGCTATTCCCAGGCCATTCCAGCAGTGGAATAGGATTATCTTGAAACTCCAAAAGAAAAAGTGGTGTTATTAGCCATCAAACCTCAAAAATACACTTTTCCCAAAAGGTTTCAACAATTTTGGCCACTGCTGTATGATCATTTTTCACACCTATGACCATTGCAGCACCCCCATGGCCATGTCATCAAAATTCGGATGCTTGGCAATTGATTCGTATTTATGACGGTTGAATGTTCCGGAGTCACTTGATTCTCTTGTGTGACCTTCTGACAAGCCAGATTCACTGAACAACCGTGTGACTCATTTAACAACTGCAGCAAACGTGGCAAGGAAAGTCGTAAAATGGGGGCGGGGGAGGGAACTCCCTTTACAAATTTCTCACTTAGAAACTTAAAATGTCGGGCTCCATTGCGGTCGTACGTTGACGATTACCTGTAAGTGTTACACACATAATCTCCAGTTGTGCTCAGAAATCTGGTCTTTTAATATGGACTGCCTTATCTAGACCCTGTTCTGAAAGGTTTCCCTTTACCTGTTGACCCATTAAACTAGGTTTGAATGCTAGTTACCTGCTTTAAACACACAGAAGAAAGCTTTGGTGTTCACAATTTACAGAACGCCATCAAAAGCAGAATATATATATATATATTCTTTTTGTGGAACAACTGGATGGCCATCACCTGCTTAATTGTAACTTGCTGAGGCTGAATAATCGAGGTTTCCTTAATTAATTTCCCCTCGTTCCCTTCGTTTCTATGATCTGTTTAAATGATTCTAATTATAACACGGCTACATCCGGTGCTTGGATCAGATTCCCACAGCTGCGATTCTCACCAGGTACTCCTGGCCTCCTCGTTGTTACGGTCTCTTAAATCCTCCTCTAATCTCCTGACTTTTGTGAAAATTAAAAGATGTCTGTCTTTGATTTCTTTTCCTGCAGGTGTTTATTAATACTCGCTACATCGGTCACCTCGATTACAATGTACAGGAGCTGTCCATTCCTAACCTGCAGGTGAGCAGCTAGAAAAAACAGCTGGAATTGCAGATCTCCTTTACCTACCCAGATTTCTGCCTGCATCCCTGCTTCCTTTTCTTTCAAAAATTCAGGTATAGGTAGTTCTCGATTTACAACAGTTCGCTTAGTGACTGAACGGCACTGAAAAGAGTGACCTACGACCGTTTTTCACACTTCTGCAGCATGGTCATGGGTGTGAAGTTTCCGAAAGATGCCCTAATTAATTCATGAGCCACGAGCCAAACTTCAAAAGAAATACAGTCATTTATTAGGCGCACCATTTCGGCAATATTCGGATGCAGTTAGAACTAATCCCAAGTAGATTTACGTTCCCCTATGACCCTCTCTCTCCCCTCCTCCCTGGCCATGTCATAAATCACATTCTCCAATTAACCACTTTGGCTGGCTGTGAAACCCAACACTCTCCTACTGATTGCGGTAAGAAAGCATCTGTGGAATGTAGTTTCAGTTAGGGAAATCAATCAGCTCCATCAGTTCTCTCTTCCTCCTGCTCATGGCAACTTGAAAGCTATATAAGTTGACAATGGGATTTATATTTAGAATGCTTGACAGCTGATTCACATTTATGACGGTTGCGGTGTCCCGGGGTCCCTTCATCCCCTTTTGCGACCTTCTGACAACACAAGACCATGGGGAAGCCAGATTCACTTAACAACGGCCTTAACTAATTTAACAAATGCAGGGATTCACTTAACAAAGGCGGCAAGAGAAGTAATAAAATGGGGCAAGGCTCGCCTAGCAAAATTTCTCACTTAACAGCACACATTTTGGGCTCCATTGTGGTCGTAAGTTGAGGATGATCTGTTTTTCCTTTCTTATCCCGTGCAGGGATATAGGCAGCTGCAAATTTTAGTCGAGAACTCCGGGAGAGTCAACTATGGGCTTAATCTGAATAACCAGCGGAAAGGTAAATCATGCTGTTTACTGTTCTCATGACTTTAATTGTAATTGAAAGCAAGTTTTGCCTGTATTGTCTGCTCCCTGCTTTAAAGCAACAGCATTGAAGTTCTTTACGGATTTATACTCCTTACAGACAGCTGGTCATTTGCATCCTTTTTAGGGAGTCGTTGAGGCCGCCTGGAGGTTTATCTGTGTCATCAGAGTCACCTGAATGGGTGCAAATGGCTGTGGAGGCTTCTTGGAACTGTTGAAAGGACTGTGTTGTAGACTGGAGATAGATGAAGTCGTATCTCTCCCCCTTTGTTGTGGCCCGTCAGCGGCCTGTGCAGCTAGTAGCTGATTCCGACAGCGAGGAGGCTGGTGTGGTGCTGCGCCAGCAGCCTGTGCAGCTGGCACTCGAGTTAGACAATGAGGAGGCTGGAGAAGATGTGGTGCCAGAGGCGGGGATTCAGCCAGGGCCTTCAGAAGCTCCCTTAAGTGAAGAGGACAAAGAGGAGGAGCCTCTTCTCGATGCACAGGCATGCAGAGCTGCCAAAAAGCAGGAGTGGCTCCTCAGGAGGAGGTCTCCTCGAGAGTAAAGCTTGGGGCTAATTGGCCACTCCCTTAGCCTATTTAAGGAAGAATGCCGACTGAAGCAATTTGCAGGGAACAACTTCATTCACACTCCTTCGCGTCTGGATCTCAGTTCTTTGCAAATTGCTTCTGGGCTTTCTGCCAACCCTAGTAAGATTACGATTATTTATTCTTTGGATTCTTGTAAACTGTTAAGAAGGTTAATTAACAGACTTTGTTTGAAAAAAAAAGACTGATTTAATTTAGTAAACTAAAGTTTGTACAGACTTTGTGTGTGCTGCGTTCTTTGGGGTCCGTAGCTGGGGCAGGGCACCCTCTGTTGAGAGAGGGCTGTTCAATTTTGTCATAGATGGCCTCTTCGATAAACCTCCAGGTGCCCTCAACGACCCTCTAAAAGGATGCAAATGACCAGCTGTCTGCGAGGAATATAAATCCTTCAATTCTCCATCCAGTCAGAGCCGAAGAAGCTTCTCGGATGAGAAGCGAAACGTCTTCAAGGAGAAACAGAAAGTCCAGTTGCCTCTTGAAAAAAAACATCTTTGGGACAGTCATGACCTGGATGACTGAGAATCTCCATAGATACTCAGAAAGATGCATGAAGATTTCTCGTAGACACCAGAAAAGGTGTTAATAAGGGGGGGGGAGCCAAGCAATCAGATTACAGAAGAATGAATTTAAAGTTCCAGGAAGACAGATTCTAGCTGAAGGTGATGAATCAAATAATCTAATAGAGATAGTATTCAACTTACAACAGTTCTTTTAGTGACCAAAGTTGCAACGGCCCTCAGAAAAGGGACTTAAGGATCGTTTTTTTTCACCCTTAACGACCGTTGCAGGCTCACGTCATCGAAATTCAGACCGTTGGCAACTGTCTCGCATTTATGACGGTTGTAAGCGTCCCTGGGGATCACGTGACCCACTTTTGCGACCTTCTGACAAGCAAAGTCAACGGGGAAGCCCATTTCACTTAACAACCATGTGACTAGCTTAACGACTGCAGCCATTCGTTTAACCCAGGTGGCAGGAAGAGTCGTAAAACGGGGCAAAACTCTCGCTTAGCGACATACATTTTGGGCTCAATTGTGGTCGTATGACAAGGACTGCCTGTAATAAGAGACACTTGGCAGCAAAATCATTTGTCTTAAGGACACACACACACGCCCTTCTTGAATTGTTGAAACAGACGCTAGGAATCTTAAAAATTGGATTCCTGCAACTGACAGGAGAAATTGGACACAGAGTCCCATTCCAATCTGCTCAATGGATCAGATTCACGGCCAAGAATCTTACAGTAGTGGCCAAAATTGTGGAAACCTTTTGGGGGGGAAAAGTGTATTTTCTAAAAATAGCTCATAACACCACTTTTTTTTTTTTTTTTTGGAGTAGAACCATAAAATTATATATCAGTGGAAAGATAATTTAATCAAGAATGTAATGCAATAACTTTTAGGAAGGATTTGCTATTAGAACAGCAGTTACAGTTTAAAGAAGAAAAGTGAAAGACGTAGAAAAAAACGAAATATACAAAAATGATCACCATAGAAAAAACGCGATATACAAAAATGATCACCACGTCAGTTAATCCTTAGTTGGGTAACCTTTAGCATGAATTACGGCCTTACAACGTCTTCCCATGGAGTGAACCAAGTCTTTTAGTTCTGCAGCTGTTCTAATGTGAAACCAAGATTGAATGATGGCTTCAATTAACTGGGTTTTATTGCTGGGTCGCCTCTGACTAACAAGTTTCTTTAGTCGGCTCCATAGATTTTCAATTGGGTTAAGGTCTGGGTTATTCCCAGGCCATTCCAGCAGTGGAATAGGATTATCTTGAAACTCCAAAAGAAAAAGTGGTGTTATTAGCCATCAAAGCTCAAAAATACACTTTTTCCCAAAAGGTTTCCACAATTTTGGCCGCTACTATAGAATGAACAGCATCCTTGGCCATGACTGGCTGAAAGGAGCAGGATGGACTCTGTCATTCGAAGGTTAACAAAGAACAAAGGGAGGGGGGGAGAGAGAGAGAATGAGAGAGAGAGAGAGAGTATGCCACAGCCAGGATTCCTTCACCGAAAAACCTCTGTGAAATAATGTCTTCATTAAGCCCCTATTCTGTTTTTGTAATAGGGCAGTTGCTCGTTTCCAAACCCTGCAAAGAATTTCTCTTTTATTTTAGCTGCAATTGTATTTGCCTTCCTTTATTTGTTGCTGTGATTGAATTAGACACTACCCAAATTCAAGCTGACTCTCGACTGATAAATAATGATGTAAAAATCAATATAAACCCAAACCAAGATGAGATCCAGGCACAATGGACACACAAAAATATTCGTTCATTCGTTCGTTCGTTCATTCATTCATTCATTCATTCATTCCAATACTCCAATATGAGCCGCAGTGGCGCAGTGGTTAGTGTGCAGTACTGCAGGCTACTTCTGCTGACTGCCGGCTGCCTGCAGTTTGGCAGTTCGAATCTCACCAGGCTCAAGGTTGACTCAGCCTTCCATCCTTCCGAGGTGGGTAAAATGAGGACCCAGATTGTTGGGGGCAAATATGCTGACTTTGTAAACCGCTTAGAGAGGGCTGTAAAGCACTGTGCAGCGGTATATAAGTCTAAGCGCTATTGCTATTTGAGAGGCTGCCACAACGAGAAGGGGGTCAAATTATTTCCCAAAGCAAGAAACAATGGATGGAAACTAATCAAGGAGAGAAGCAACCTGGAATTAAGGAGAAACTTCCTGACAATGAGAGCAATTAAACCAGTGGAACAGCTTGCCACCAGAAGTTGCAGGGGCTTCATCACTGGAGGTTTTTAAGAAGAGCCTGGATAGCCACCTATCTGAAACGGTAGAGGGTCTCCTCCTTGAGCAGGGGGTTGGACTAGAAGGCCTCCAAAGTCCCTTCCAACTGATTTAGAATTGTATCGACCCCAGTGCCAAATATGGAAGTTGGCAGCAGCGGCTGCCGCTCTCGGCAACGGGCCGTGCCTCCCCTTTGAAAGGTGATTCATCAGCCTTGTCCCTGCTCCGCTCAGCGTTTGCTCTCGTTTCTCTTGCAGGCTTAATTGGCGACATTGTTTTCAACAAAACCTCCTTGAGAAACTTCAAGATTTACAGCCTTGAAATGAAACCCAGCTTCATGGAAAGGTTTGCTCAGTGAATCTCGGCAACAACAGCAGCCCCTTCCCCGCTCCTCCCTCCCCCTCCCCTGCTTTTTCTGTTCCGGTGATTTGTTTCCCTCTTTCCCTTTGTTTACTGGAATTATGCTTGGCCAGGGTCCAAATCCTAGTTAGCAGCTCCACCTGCCAGCAGTCTGGCATCTGGCAAAGATTTGGGCTGGTCGCTCTCAAACCTGCAGAGCCGTGCAGCAGCCCTTCTTAGCAGTGCCCGTTTTTCAATATAATTTCCCGCTTCCGTGCCAACTGGCACCGCCAGTATTGATAATGGTTTGATAGATAAAACTAGAAGAGTCAGGATGGCTATTGGACTGACTTTGATCAGTCACCAGGAGACGATGAGTTCTAGTCCTCCTTAGGGTGGATGACTGGGTCAGTCATCAGGAGATGGTGAGTTCTAGTTCCTCCTTAGGATGGGTGACTTTGGGTCAGTCACCAGGAGATGATGAGTTCTAGTTCCTCGTAGGGTGGGTGACTTTGGGTCAATCATCAAGAGATGGTGAGTTCTAGTTCCTCCTTAGGGTGGGTGACTGGGACAGTCACCAGGAGATGATGAGTTCTAGTTCCTCCTTAGGATGGGTGACTTTGGGTCAATCACCAGGAGATGGTGAGTTCTGGTTCCTCCTTAGGTGGATGACTTTGGGTCAGTCACCAGGAGATGTGAGTTCTAGTTCCTCCTTAGGATGGGTGACTTTGGTCAGTCACCAGGGAGATGAGTGACTTCTGATGTTGATCCTTAGGTGGGTGGTGACTTTGGTCTCAAGAGGATGGTGTTTTTTGTGTTAGTGTGTGTGTCATCACATCAAGAGATGGTGAGTTCTAGTTCCTCCTTAGGATGGGTGACTTTGGGTCAGTCACCAGGAGATGGTGAGTTCTAGTTCCTCCTCCGTAGGGTGGGTGACTTTGGGTCAATCACCGAGTGAGATGATGAATTCTAGTTACTCTCGTAGTCGTGCAGGAGTGGTCATGTACTCAGGATGGTGAGTTCTAGTTCCTACTTAGGATGGGTGACTTGTGGGTCATCACCAGGAGATGGTGAGTTCTAATTCTCTTAGGGTGGGTGACTGGACAGTCATCAGGAGATGATGAGTTTAGTTCCTCCTTAGGATGGGTGACTTTGGGTCAATCACCAGGAGATGTGAGTTCTAGTTCCTACTTAGGGTGGGTGACTTTGGGTCAGTCATCAGGAGATGGTGAGTTCTAGTCCTCCTTAGGGTGAATGACTTTGGGTCAATCACCAGAAGATGGTGAGTTCTAGTTCCTTCTTAGAGTGGGTGACTTTGGGTCAAACATCAGGAAACTCTGAATTCAATTCCTGCTTTAGACATAAATGCCAGCTTGGTGACTTTGACTTTGGGCCAGTCTGTCTCTGGTAGCCCATCCACCTCACAAGGTTGTTGTTGTAGGGGAAATAGAAGGAGGCAGGCGTATTAAACATGTTTCCCACTTTCAGTTAATTATATAAAAAAATTAAGGTGGGATATGGATGGGTGGATGGGGAAGGAAGGGAAGGGAGGGAAGGGAAGGAAGGGAAGGAAGGAAGGAAGGAAGGAAGGAAGGAAGGAAGGAAGGAAGGAAGGAAGGAAGGAAGGATGAAGCAAGCTTCTACAATTACTGAAGCTTTTGAGATACACATCAGCGCTCTTGTACCTGACCAAGAACAAGCCAAGTTGGCTTAGGCTGTGTCGTGGTTTGAAACTGTTAGCTGGAGAACCACTAAGCAATATTATCCTTATTATTACTGAGCTTGGTGGTTTTCTTGCAGAGGTTTTGTTACCCAGACTAGGTAACATCCTCAGTGCAAGCAAAGAGTGCAATTTGTGGAAGCAGAGGAGAAGGAGGAGGAAGAGAAGGAAAAGAGAAGGAGGAGGAGTGCTCGTTAAACTAGGTAAACATCATCGGTGCTAGGTTTAAATTTAGATCTTAAAGTTGCAAAATTGGACGGACCCCCCCCCCCACACCCTAAATGGACAATCCTGTAATACGACATTATTATTTTTTTTTCTGAATTGTGGAGGGCACAAATGATGATCTTTGGAACCGTTGCAGCCCCTGTGGCGCGAGTTCAAGTCCTTCCCCTGGATTTCTAGAAATGTGGGTTGAGGAGTTTGCAGAGGGGGGTGTCTTGCTTTGATTAGCCCCCCTCCCCTCCCGAAGCAAAGGAGGCAGCCTGGAACCCCTCTCGTTGCCCACCCGCTGCTGGAAGAAGAAAAGACTAGCCACCGAGGAGAGCAAGACAAAGCTTACTGAACCTGTGGAACTGACTGCCACAAGAAAAAGTGTCTTGCCAGCTTTAAAAAATTAGCATTGATGATGTTACCTTGTTTGGATAATGAAACCTTGGTAGTACAGGGGTTTAAGGCACCCTGTTATTAAGCTGGTTATTAAGACCAGCTGCCTGCAATTACTGCAGGGTTCGAATCTCGCCAAGGCTCAAGGTTGACTCAGCCTTCCATCCTTTCTAAGGTAGGTGAAATGAGGACCCAGTTTGTGGGGGCAATAAGCTGACTTTGTATAAATATACAAAAGGATGAAGGCTATTGCTGAGCACATTGTAAGCCGCCCTGAGTCTTCGGAGAAGGGCGGCATATAAATCAAATTTAAAAAAAAAACCGCCAAGATCAGAGAGCACCAAGGACCCCCTCCGGTAGATCCTGAGCTACAAATATTCTCCTTTATTGCTCATTATTGTTTGCTGGTTACAGTACAGGCTGGAGTCATTTCGGTCTGGATTCTGGCCCTTTATAGGAGGGCAGGGGGCACTTCCAGGGAGGGAGGTTGGCTGATGGAGGAGGGAAGGGAAAGCACGGGTACTAGAGTCCTAGTAGTCTAGAGGCCTCTGGCTGGATAACAGCGATCACACAGCTAAGCACTTCAAAGCTATAATAGCCGGGAGGCACCCTTGAGGCCATCAGTTCCAACTCCTGCCATCTGCAGAAATCCCAATAAATGCCAGCTTTTGACAAAGGGCTCTTCTGTTTTCTCTCTCTCCTTCCTTTCAAAATATCCCTGTGCAGTTCAGAGCGAGGGGGGACGGTGTTTTTTAAATCTCGTTAACAATCCTCAAAAAGGTACAATTTGGCACGCTTGGTTGTCAAGTTCCCTCCTTCCCTCTCCCGTTTTCCAAACCGTTGAAATTTGTTGTCAGCAGGGATGGTGGTTTTGAACACCAATTCACAGAAAAGAACAGAAGCAGAGGAAGTTCGCCAAATTGCAAAACGCCACAACAACGGCAAAAGTTAAAAGGAGCCGCGCGGCAATTAAACGCAGCCGGTCTGCTTACCGCAGGGATCCAAACTGCACCTGCCAGACGGCTGCCTAAACTCACCTTGAAGCAAGGGTGAAATGCTCCCGGTTCGGACCAGATCGCCTGATCTGGTAGCGATGGGGGCGAGTGGTTTGGAGAACCGGTAGCAAAAATCCCTGCCCCCCCCCATCCCATGCCCAGCTGAGCTGCACAATCATCAGAGGCTTTTTTTTCCCCCCCTTTTAAAAGCATTTTTTCTACAACCTCTTCGGCCGAAAAAATTCTTTTAAAAAAAAAAAAAAAAAAAGCCTCTGATGATCGCGCGGCTCAGCTGGGATCGTCAAAGGCTTTTTTTCTTTTAAATGCCTCTGACGATCCAAGCTGAGTTGCCTGATCGTCAGAGGCTTTTAAAAGAAAAAAAAGCCTCTGCCTATCAGGCAACTCAGCTGGGATCGTCAGAGCCTTTTGAAAGCATTTTTTTACAACCTCTCCCAAAGAGGTTGTAGAAAAAATGGTTTTAAAAGTAAAAAAAAAAATTAAAAAATTGGCCATACCCACCCAGTCACATTACCCCACCACCAAGCCACGCCCACGGAACCAGTAGTACCAAATTTTAGATTTCACCACTGCCTTGAAGGCGTCTCTCAAGAGGAGCCCGTCATCTCTCCGGGTCACTGGTTACATGGGTGAACATTTTTAGACGTTCTGGGGGGGGGGTCTTTGTTGCTCTTTGAGCTTGGTTTACTTACAGACATTTCGTGACCCAACTAGGTAACGTTATCAGCGTTAGACGGGAACGGGTTTGCTCTGTAGAGCAGGGGTCTCCAACCTTGGCAACTTTTAAGACTTGTGGATTTCAACTCCCAGCAAAGCTGGCTGAGGAACTCTGGGAGTTGAAGTCCTCAAGTCTTAAAGTTGCCAAGGTTGGAGACCCCTGCTCTAGAGCACTGTGGCTCAGTGGCTAAGACACTGGGCTTGTTGATCAGACAGGTCAGCAGTTCGGCGGTTCGAATCCCTAGTACAGCGCAGTGGGCTAAGCGCTGTTAAAGTAGTACTTAGCTGCCAGCTGCCTGCAATTACTGCGAGTTCAAATCTCACCAGGCTCAAGGTTGACTCAGCCTTCCATCCTTCCGAGGTAGGTAAAATGAGGACCCAGTTTGTGGGGGCAATAAGCTGACTTTGTATAAAATATACAAAAGTATGAAGGCTATTGCTTAACGCATTGTAAGCCGCCCTGAGTCTCCGGAGAAGGGTGGCATATAAATTGAACCAATAAATAAATATCTCGCCAGGTTTTCAAATGCCCAGCTGAAAGAATCTCAATTTTTTTGAAGTAAGAGTTCGACCCGAGGGATGATGAACGATGTTGAGGATGTCTACGAAAGTATACTCAAGAGAAAGTTGCTAGAAAGTAGGGGAAAGGCATGCGTTACCCAAAAACCAAGACTTACAAAGGAGAATATTTGTAGCTCAGGGTTGAAATGAGGGGCCCCTTGGTCCTTGATGTTGATGGTGAAGTTACCTAATTTGGGTAATGGAACGTCTGCAAGAAAACCACCAAGCTCAGAGAATACCAAGGATTCCTCAAGCGAGGCCTAGCCTACATCAAAACTGATTGGGGATGCTGATGGATTTTTTCTCTCCCGAAGATGATTATTCCTCCTCCCTCTTCCTCTTCCTCCTCCTCCTCTCCAGAATACCCCCTCCCCTTCTAGCACTGATAATGTTACCTAGTTTAGGTAATGACCCTTGGTGGCGCAGCAGACTAAAGCGCTGTTAAGTAGCACCAGCTGCCTGCAATTACTGCAAGTTCAAATCTCACCAGGCTCAAGGTTGACTCAGCCTTCCGTCCTTTCGAGGTAGATAAAATGAGGACCCGGATTGTGTGGGCAATAAGCTGACTTTGTATAAAAAAAAAAAAAGAACACCGCTTTGGGGGGGGGGGCGAAAGCCCTACTAAGCAGGTATATACAAAAGTATGAAGGCTGTTGCTTAACACATTGTAAGCCGCCCTGAGTCTCTGGAGAAGGGCAGCATATAAATCGAACCAATCAATCAATCAATCAATCAATCAATAATAAATAAATAAATAAATAAATAAATAAATAAATAAATAAATAGCAAGAAAACCACCAAGCTCAGAGAGCACCAAGGACTCCTCCTCCTCCTCTCCTCCTCCTCCTCCTCCTCCTCCTCCTCCTCCTCCTCTCCTCCACAATACCCCCTTCCCTTCTAGCACTGATAATGTTACCTAGTTTAGGTAATGAAACATCTGCAAGAAATCTACCAAGCTCAGAGAGTACCAAGGACCCCATAATCCTCCTCCTCTTCCTTCTCCTCCTCCTCCTCCTCTTCCTCTCCACAATGCCCCCTCCCCTTCTAGCACTGATGATCTTACCTAATTTAGGTAATGAAACATCTGCAAGAAAGCCAAGCTCACAGAGCACCAAGGATCCCTCAAGCAGGACCTAGCTTACATCAAAACTGATTGGGGATGCTGATGGATTTTTTTTCCCCACCTGGTGATCCCTTTGAAGAAACTACCTTTTCTTTCTCCCCTAGTCTACGAGGCGCGTCCCCCTGGAGTGCCATCCCTGACAGCGCGGTGGGCCCCGCCTTCTTCCGAGGAACACTCCAAGTACAGTATGTGCCTCAGGATACTTTCCTGAAGCTGGAGGTAAGTTGTTGATAGGTTGACCAGAGCCCTAAAAAGGAGATGTACAAGGTGTAGGATAAATGTAGATCAGCCAGGGGTGAAATGTAAAATTTATTACTACGGGTTCTGTGGGCATGGCTGGGGGGTGGGGGTGGTGATGGTAATGTGACTGGGTGGGCGTGGCCAACTTGTTTTTTTTTTAATTTTAACTTTTCAAAGCATTTTTTCTGCAAATGCAAAAGAATGCTTTGAAAAGCCTCTGCCGATCAGGAACACAGCTGGGATGGTCAGAGGCTTTTCAAAGCATTTTTGTAACCACTCTTCCGCTGAAGAGGTTGCAGAAAAAAAATGCTTTAAAAGTCTTCTGATGATCCCAGCTGAGTTGCCTGATCGTTTTTAAAAAAATGCTTTGAAAAGTCTCTCTGACGATCAGGCAACTCAGCTCGGATCATCGGAGACTTTAAAAGCATTTTTTTTCTGCAACCTCTTCCAGGGAAGAGGTGGTTAAAAAAATGCTTTGAAAAGCCTCTGAGATCTCAGCTGAACCGCGCGATCATCAGAGGCTTTTTTTTTTTTACTTTTAAAAGCATTTTTTTGGCGGAAGAAGTTGTAGAAAAAATGCTTTTAAAAGCAAAAAAAAAAGCCTCTGATGATCGTGCGGCTCAGCTGGACATGGTGGAGTGGACGGGCGCAGGGATTTTTGCTACCGGTTCTCCAAACCAACCGCCCCATCGCTACCGGATCGGGTGATCCGGTCTGAACTGGGAGCATTTCACCCCTGAGATCAGCCCAATTCGGCCTGGATTTATCGGCGCCTGCTTTCCTAGATGAAACGGCCTTAATTGTGCCTCGGTTCGTGGGTCGGCCTATCGGCATTTTGTGGTGGTGAGACACTGGAAGGGAAAGGAAACAATTGGACGGCCAATTGTATACTTCCAGTTAGTATTCTTTCCACGCATTTGGGATTGACCTGTTATTTTGTTAGCATCCATGTGTTGACAATAGTTTAAAAGTGTGCTTGGCTCGGAATACTTAATTTGTAAAGATGAATATGCATTTGTCTTCTCTCTCTCTCTCTCTCTCTCTCTCTCTCTTTATACTTAGTTTTTTGCAGGAACTAGAAAAAATATGTGTAGGGCTTCTAGCACCACTGCAGTAGTTTCTGAAACGTGGCTTATTGGGTGTGATTCTCAGGGCATTTCATTATTGAGGTGACACTTGTCACATGTAAGGGCACCAGGAGATCCATCAGAGAATTCTATAATATCTCAGTCCATTTATATATGGGATCCTCTTTTGTGTTTGCAGGGCTGGGAAAAGGGAGTTGTATTTGTCAATGGCCAGAACCTCGGTCGCTACTGGAAAATTGGTCCTCAGGAAACTCTCTACCTCCCGGGAACCTGGCTCCAACAAGGGTACAACGAAGTGAGTTGCTTAATTTGAATCCTGCTCTCTTTCTTTTCATGTCTCTCAATTTACTCCGGACCAGTTTGGTCTAGTGGTGAAGACACCAGGTTATAATCCAGGAGACTGGGAGTTCTACTTCCACCTTAGGCATGAAAGCTAGCGGGGTGACTTTGAGCCAATCACCAGGAGACTGGGAGTTCTAGTCCACCTTAGGCATGAAAGCTGGCGGGTGACTTTGAGCCAATCACCAGGAGACTAGGATTTCTACTTCCACCTTAGGTTTGAAATCTGGCGAGGTGACTTTGAGCCAATCACCAGGAGACTGGGAGTTCTAGTCCCACCTTAAGTATGAAAGTTGATTGGGTGAGTTTGAGCCAATCACCAGGAGACTGAGAGTTCTAATCCCACCTTATGCTTGAAATTGGCTAGGTGACTTTGAGCCAATCACCAGGAGACTGGGAGTTCTAGTCCCACCTTAAGCATGAAAGTTGATTGGGTGAGTTTGAGCCAATCACCAGGAGACTGGGAGTTTCAGTCCCACCTTAAGTATGAAAGTTGATTGGGTGACTTTGAGCCAATCACCAGGAGACTAGGATTTCTACTTCCACCTTAGGCTTGAAATCTGGCAAGGTGACTTTGAGCCAATCACCAGGAGACTGGGAGTTCTAGTCCCACCTTAAGTATGAAAGTTGACTGGGTGAGCTTGAGCCAATCACCAGGAGACTGGGAGTTCTACTCCCCACGTATGCTTGAAATCTGCCTGGGTGACTTTGAGCCAATCACCAGGAGACTAGGATTTCTACTTCACTTTAGGCTTGAAATCTGGCGAGGTGACTTTGAGCCAATCACCAGGAGACTGGGAGTTTCAGTCCCACCTTAAGTATGAAAGTTGACTGGGTGAGTTTGAGCCAATCACCAGGAGACTGGGAGTTCTACTCCCACCGTATGCTTGAAATCTGGCTGGGTGACTTTGAGCCAATTACCAGGAGACTGGGAGTTCTACTCCCACCTTATGCTTGAAAGCTGGCTGGGTGACTTTGAGCCAATCACCAGGAGACTGGGAGTTCTAGTCCCACCTTAGGCATGAAAGTTGACTGGGTGGGTTTGAGCCAATCACCAGGAGACTGGGAGTTCTACTCCCACCTTATGCTTGAAATCTGGCTGGGTGACTTTGAGCCAATTACCAGGAGACTGGGAGTTTTAGTCCCACCTTAAGTATGAAAGTTGACTGGGTGAGTTTGAGCCAATCACCAGGAGACTGTGAATTCTAGTCCCCACATTAGGCATGAAATCTGGCTGGGTGACTTTGAACCAGTCTCCCAGGAGACTGGGAGTTCTAGTCCTGCCTTAGGCATGAAAGCCAGCTGGGTGATTTTGGGCCAGTCCTCTTCCTCAACCCAACCCACCTCACGGAGCTGATGTCATGGGGAAAAAATGGGAAGAAGGAATATGTGCAAAAGAAAAGCACTCTTTTATCTGAGCTAGGTTGTCCCTTCCCTTCTTCTTTCTTCTCCAGATCATTATATTTGAGGAGCGTCTTGGAGGCCGCATCATCCATTCCACAGATCTGGCTTTCTTGGGAAGGGTTCAGTACGTGACCTGATCTCTTCCTGGTTGCCCCGCCTACTCACTGGTAGTAATGGTTAAGGTTATGCTTCTTAACTGAACGCGGGAGGTAAGAAAGTCTGAATGCAGAACTTCCTCCCTCCCGTTGTGAAAACCGTGCCCCGTATCCTTATATTTTCTAGTTATGGGTGGAGTTTGGCCAAGGGAGGCCCGCCCGGTGAGTTAATTTAGGAGGTTGACTTAAGAGTACTTGAAGGAGAAGATGCCCAGATAGTTAGGAACGTTCTCCTAAAGGAACTCAAGACTTTACTACAAGTTCTCGTAGATCCTAAGGACCTGGCAAAAGAACGAATCTTCGAGAGATCCGATGAATTGAAACAGCCGATCTGCAGCGGTTTGACGTCGACCGGCCTTTCGGTTGCCGCTGGAAAAGGAACATTTTTTTTGCATCTCTTAATAATCCACGTTGGGTCTTTCCAGATCATTGAAGCTGCACAGTCTCAGGCACCTGAGTTAGTCCTTAGGCAGGCTGTGAAGGAATGTTATTTTTTTTTTTAACAGCTTTGCCTTCGTTCGGTTGTTCCAAGCCAGCTCTTAAAGGAAGGAACGCCACGTTTCAGCGTACAAAATGCCACTTTCGATGGGCACTTCCATGCAAAGCCAATGGGAATTGCATTTCAGTGACATGTTAATGGATTTGGGGGTGGGGTGGGGTGTTGGAATTGGGCTTCATCCAAGCTACAGAGAACGCCGATAACATCTTGCAACTCTCCTCAGCTCAACCACAGATTCTGGAGATCGCCAATCATAAAGGGGGGTGTTGGATCACTGGGAGGGGTGGGTGGGAGGGATGTACCTTTGCATCAAGACTTCACACGTACTCACCCGCTGCTAAATTCTTGGAGTGCCCCTTGAGCCAGGAGGAAGCTCCAATCTAAGCCCCTACGTGTAGAGAGCCCCACCCTCTCCAAAGACCAGCCGAAAACTGTGCCGTTTCCGAAAATAGAGACGTCCGGCAAAACGTCACACAATGTCCGTCGTCCCCCCACCCCCAAACTAGGTTGTGATTCTGTGCAGCGCGCTTCGGATGTTCGCAACAGGCGCCCCTCCCTCAGCGAAAACGGGACTTGCAACTCTCGATACATCCGCAGCCGTTTTAAGCTTTCTAGACTGGATCTCTCGAGGGGCCTCCAAAGTCCGAATCCTGAACGCAGCTCCGTTTTGGAGATCATCCTCGGAATTATGTCGGCTTGCGTCGAGACTCGACTCGACCGCTTCTCTTCGTTTCTGAGGCAGGATCCGAAGGATTGGAGATTCAGCCCGAAAGGGTGCTTTGAGGGCATTTCCGAATAATCTTTTTCGTGCTTTTTTTTTTTTTTAAAGAAAAAAGGCGCAACATGGCTACATTCTCCTAATATGACGTTCCCCTAATATGACGCCCTCCAGTGCTTTTGAGGCACAACCTATGACCCCAGAAGGCCAGGGATGATGGATCTTGTATCCCTAACCTTGTGGGAAGCACCGGTTGGGAAAAAAAGCTGCTTTAAGCCATATACGTCCAGTCTTTATCTCTGCTGTCTCTTCCCTCCTTCCTCCTTAATCAAACCTCAGTTTCCCTGTTGGAGCCAAGTGGTGTAATAACCGTGGGCACAATCGGTGCCCAGTGTCATCCTCTTGCCAGCCTGACGTTGGTTATATATTGCAGGCACCCACCCCAGACATATACCCCACCCCGAATAAATTCGGCGCTTGGTTTTCCAACTATAATTCAGGTTGATTGTCACGAGGCAGTTGAATTGTGATCCTGGCCTTTACAGGTTAAGGCAGTGTTTCCCAAACTTGGCTATTTTAAGATGCATGGACTTCAACTCCCAGAATTCCCCAGCCAGTATGCCTGGTTGAGGAATTCTGGGGAGTTGAAGTCCATACATCTTCAAAGGGTCAAGTTTGGGAAACACTGGGTTAAGGGATTGGAGACTGAGGTGTCCAACCTTGGCAACTTCAAGATTCGTGGACTTCAACTCTCAGAATGCCCCAGCCAGCCATGCCATGCTGGGAATTCTGGGAGTTGGAGTCCATAGGTCTTAACGTTGCCAAGGTTGGGCATCCTTTCTCTAGTCTTTTCAAGCTTATCAAAAACCATCTTTCATTCTGTTTATGAAATGAACCACAGTTGAATTGAAAACATAAGGTACAGCTGTAAAAAAAAAAAAAACAACAGAAGACAAAGAGGTGGGGAAAAGCGGCACCCCTTCCACCAGTTCTGTGCTCTGCAACTCACCGGCGCCCTGATAGCAAAGTTTAAACCTTTGGATGCCTGCCAGAGCCTATCACCGCCTGCCATCCATCACGTGCTCCTTTGCCAAAAAAAAAAAACACGGAAGGAAAATTGGGATGAATCATTGCAATTTTCTTTTGGGTGTCTGTGATTTGCTACAGCCGGGCAGAGTTATAGCCATAAAATGGAGAGAGAGAGAGAGAGAGAGAGAGGAAGGGCAAAAGAAGAAAAACACACATACATACCAGCAGAAAGAACGGTGATCGGAAAGACGTGTTTCGCTGAGAAAACCGAATTTCCTTTTTTTTAAAAAAAAAAAAAGAGAAAGAATTGCCTCTCCTTTTCCCCTTTTTAAATTAAAGGTTTGGGCTGGTGTTTTTGTTCTGCGGATTAAATTCCGTATCGTTGGATGTGAATTTGATTCAAATGCTGTTTTCCCCTACCGACGGTGACCGAGGTTTTGAATTTTTTTCAGGAAAGTCGTATTAAGGCCTAGTTGGTTTGTTGGTTCGGGTTTTTTTCCCCCTCCCCCTGTGACTGGTTTGCTAGATATTTGTAATAAATAAAGGGGGGAAAAAAAGGAAATTTATCTCTTTATTATTTATTGGCGCCATGGTCGTTTTCTCTATCGCGAGAGGGCTGCCATTAGTCCCGAGCATGATTTGAGTCCACACCGCCTTATGCATCTTACTCACTCAGGTTAAAGATTAAAAAAATAAGCCTTTTTTTTCGTTCTTTTTTCTTTTTTTTTTTGCTCTACAATTTTACATTACTTTCCTTTCCAAAAAGCTACAATTCTGCTTTGCCTTTTTAAATGTACCGTGTTTTCCGAAAATAAGACCCTGTCTTATATTTTTTTTGAACCTCGAAATAAGCGCTTGGCCTTATTTTCAGGGAGGTCTTATTATTTTGGGGCGCGTGGGGCTCCTCTTGCCGTCTTACCTGATTTCCAGCTCTGTCTCCCTAACCCTAACCAGAGGAAATGGCGGAGACCAGCTGTGCATGTGTTTAAATATTTTCGGGGAGGCTTATTTTCAGAGAGGGCTTTAGCGCATACACTCAAAAGCCCAACTGGGCTTATTATCAGGGGATGTCTTATTTTTGGGGGGAAACGGTGTATATATTTAAAGCAGTGGTGAAATCTAAAATTTGTTACTACCGGTTCTGTGGGCGTGGGGTAATGTGACGGTGGGCATGGCCATTTTTTTTTTTACTTTTTTTTTAAAACCATTTTTTCTACAACCTCTTCGGCGAAGAGGTTGTAAAACAATGATTTCAAAAGGCTCCGATGATCCCAGCTGAGTTGCCTGATCGGCAGAGGCTTTTTTTTTTTTTAAAAGCCTCTGACGATCAGGCAACTCAGCTTGGATCGTCAGAGGCATTTAAAAGAAAAAAAGCCTTTGACGATCCCAGCTGAGCTGCGCGATCATCAGAGGCTTTTTTTTTTTTTTACTTTTAAAAGCATTTTTTCGGCCAAAGAGGTTGTAGAAAAAATGCTTTTAAAAGTAAAAAAAAAAAAAAAAGCCTCTGATGATTGCGTGGCTCAGCTGGGCATGGGGGGGGGGGGAGGGGATTTTTGCTACCGGTTCTCCGAACCACCCGCCTCCATCGCTACCAGATCGGGCGATCCGGTCCGAACCGGGAGCATTTCACCTCTGATTTAAAGGAAAGCCAACTAATAGCGTGTCGGAGACTGAGATGGAGATTAAAAAAAAAAAATCAGGATCCAGTACAGGGAGTCCTCGGCTTACAAAAATTCATTTCGTGACCATTTGACGTTAAGCACGGCACTGAAAAAAGTGACTTACGACCGTCTTTCACGCGGCCTTTGCCGCATCCCCACAGTCACGTGATCAAAATTCACTCCCTTGGCAACTGACACACATTTATGACGCTTACAGTGTCCCGAGGTCGTATGTTCCACTTTTGCGACCATCTGACAAGCAAGATCAGTGGGGAAGCCGGGTTCACCTATCAACCAGGTTGTTAACTTTTATCCACCGCAACCATTCACTTAATAACTGTGCCAAGAAAGGTCCCAAAATGAGGCAAAATTCACTGAGCAACTTGTCTCGCTTAGCAACGGAAATTTTGGGCTCAGTTGTGGTCGTAAGTCAAGGACTACCTGTATCACGAGGCCCCTTTTAAAGAAGACATCTCGCCATCAGAAACGGTTTCGTATTTGATCTGTTCGGCAAGAGATCGGAATCTGCAAGAGTCAGAACTGACTTTCTTTAAGCCTCTCCCCTCTTCATGTGTGGCTTTTTTTAAAATCACACAGGAGGCATAATTTGATTCAATTCCATTTTGCGTCGCTGAAGTTTTGACCATCATTCATCAGGGTAAAATCCAAAGATGGTTACCACCATTCTTACCGGCAAGCTCATGCATATCCCTCATTATGCAATCCCCCCAGGGTGGGTTACTGGGGATTTGCAGGGGTTCGGGATTTTGTGCAGTTTGGAAAACCCCCAAATCCCACTCCTGGCTGGCCCCGCCCACCCCACCTCACTCCTCCCAGGAGTCCCCACACGGCCCGTTTTGGATGAGGTAAGTGTAGGGCATGCATGGAGGTTTGGGGAGGGCGAAAAATGGGCCTACCGGAAGTTCAGGAAGCCCAGAAACCCCTTTACGGCCTCCAGACGGCCTCCGGAGCCTGGGGAGGCCGTTTTTGCCTTCCCGGAGGCTAGACGAAAGCCTCCGGAGCAGGGGTGAAATCCAGCAGGTTCTGGAGAACCGGTAGCGGAAATTTTGAATAGTTCGGAGAACCAGTAGCGGAAATTTTGAGTAGTTCGGAGAACGGACAAATACCACCTCTGAGTGGGGTGGGAATGGAGATTTTGCAATATCCTTCCCCCAGGGGTGGGGAGGGAATGGAGATTTTGCAGTATCCTTCCCCTGCCATGCCCACCAAGCCATGCCCACAGAGTCGATAGTAAAAAAATATTGGATTTCACCACTGCTCCGGAGCCCGAGGAGGGCAAAAATGCTCCCTCTGCCATGGTGCAGGAGGTCAACTAGGCCACGCCCACCATGGCCACGCCCACCCAAGCAACTGGGCAGAGAACCCCTTGCTAAAATTTTTGAAGCCCACCCCTGAATCCCTCCCCCCCCCCAAATCTTTATATCCCCATAATTTCAGCATGTACCAGGAAAAAATAGATCTTGTGAATAGCCCAATAGAACAGGATGCCCTGCTATTCCCCATCTTCTGTATCCTCTTTTTCCATGCATCACTTTTGTCTTTCGCTCAGAATAAGCTGAAGTGGGGGGGAGAAATTCTCTTAAATTTCAAGCCCGCTTTTCGAATATAAGCTGATATAGTTTTAAACGCATCTTCGATCCTAGGTACAGGCAGGTATTTCTCTCTCTGGGCACAATGAGAATGTATCTGCTGGGGGGAAAAAAAAACTCCGCATTGGCAACAGGAAGGGCATCCGGCCAGTAACCACTCAGCTCCATTCAGTTGCCCAGACTCCACCCCGCAAGGGATTATGGAGTCATTAAAAGACGACGATTCACTCTAGGGCGCTGTTTCTAAACCTTGGCAATTTGGAGCTGCGTGGACTTCAACTCCCAGAATTCCCCAGTCAGCCGGGGAATTCTGGGAGTTGAAGTTTACATATCTTAAAAGTTGGGAAACATTAGGCTAGACACATTTTTTTTTAGAAGAGTGAACTTGAATTCCCAGAATTCCCCAGTCAGAAAGACTGTCCTGGGGTGTTTTATCGCCTGTATCCCTTCTAATTCTCCTGTTCTAATATCTATGGCAGATACACGATTGAGGAATCCGACTAATCGATAAAACAGACTTTTTGCCCTCTTTGCTGATTTTTGCATTGCTCACATTTTACTGATGGCCCCGGGGTGGGAAACCACATCTCCGTCGCTCTCGCTTTTTAATCTCTTATAGTTTCATTTTATTTTATTCGATCGTTTCCAGGAGGTCAGGCATAAGTGAGCTGTTGTTGTTTTTTAAATACTGATTTATTAATTTATTGATCTTTCTTTTTTTTTTCTTTTCTTCCTCTGCTCAAGAACCCAAGCTGGTCTCTGGTATATGGAGCAACTCGACTTGGTGGTTTTCCTCTGGTTGACCAAGGGCCCAGTTTGAGTCTGGAATCGGGGTGCTTGGTGCCTGGAGTAGGAACAAACTGCAAATAGGGAGGGGAAAAAAGTGGGTTTTAGTGTCGCACTTTAGCTGCAGTTCAGCAGTAGAATGCTTAATTGTTTTTTCCCCCCCAAAGCAAACCCTGATTTACATTTTATTTGTGGCTTGCTACAACGAAGTGGGGGGTCAACCTATTCTCCAAAGCACCTGAAGGCAGGATAAGAAGCAATGGGTGGAAACTAATCAAGGAGAGAAGCAACTTGGAACTAAGAAGAGATTTCCTGACAAGTGAGAACAATTAGCCAGCGGAACAACCTGCCTCCAGAAGTTGTGGGTGCTCCAACACTGGAAATTTTTTAGAAGAGCCTGGACAACCGTTTGTCTGGAATGTTATAGGTATCCAGCCTGTGCAGAGGGTTGGACTACAAGACCTCCAGGGTCCTTCCCAACTCTGTCATTCTGTTACCTTACTTCTGTCTCCAGCCAGCGCTACTTGTTAAACGAAGCACATGGCAGCCCCTGGAAATAGTTCCCACCTGCCCAGTGGTGGGATTCACTTACCTTCCCTACCGGTTTGCACTCGCTTCGCTTATGCGCCACCACTGCACATATGCACAGCCTTCCGTGCGTGCGCATTGCTCACGCTTTACCTCCGGGTGGGTTGGTGGAGCCTTCGGCAGTCACCACTACTGGTTTGTCCGAACCGGATTGAACCGGCTGATTCCCACCACTGCACCTGCCTTATTCTCTCCTATCCGGCTTCTATGTTTAGTACAATATAGTTTAATGTGACATTAGATTAGATTAGATTAGATTAGATTAGATTAGATTAGATGATTAGATTAGATTAGAATAGATTAGAATATAGCTTAATGTGACATTAGATTAGAGTAGAGTAGATTAATTAGACTAGATGACTAAACTAGATTACATTAGATTAGATTAGACTAGATGACTAGATTATATTAGATGATTAGACTAGACTAGGGTAGATTAGATTAGACTAGACTAGACTCGATAGATTAGACGACTAGAGTAGATTAGATTAGATGGCTAGACTAGATTCGAGTAGATTAGACTAGACTAGATTACATTAGATTAGATTAGACTAGATGACTAGATTATATTAGACTAGAGTAGACAAGAGTAGATTAGATTAGATTAGGTTAGATGACTAGACTAGATTAGAGTAGATTTGACGACTAGATTAGATTAGATTAGATTAGATTAGATTAGATTAGATTAACAGAGTTGGAAGGGACCTTGGAGGTCATATAGTCCAACCCCCCACCCAAGCAGGAGACCCTACACCATTTCCGACAAATGGCAGTCCAGTCTCTTCTAGAAAGCCTCCAGTGATGAAGCTCCCACAACTTCTGTTCCATGGGTTGATTGTTCTCACTGTCAGGAAATGTCTCTTTATTTCCAGGTTGAATCTCTCCTTGATCAGTTTCCATCCATTATTCTTTGTCTGGCCTTCAGGTGTCTTGGAACAGAGCTGAACATGGCATTCCTCTCCCTCCCAGTTGCACGGGCCTGTTATGTTGATGCATCATGCATGTTAGCATCATGCATCAAGCTTTCAGAAGAAAGAGAGACCGGGGATTACTGTTTTGAGCAGCTGACACAAATTTGGCTCAGATTCACATTCTCCCCTCCTAAGTCCCACTTTGAAGAGGCACCTCCGTAGTACCAAATGCCAACATGCCAGAGCGCTGCGATTTACTCATGCACCGGGTCGGTACCTGTTGGCATCTGTTCCTGGCTTTGCAGCATGATGTCAGATTTCCACGTTGGGATCTGTGAAGCCTTTCTTTCCCTCATTCACCAGCACGGGTTTTTCGGTCCTTGTGTGCCAGACGAGAATCTGGGGATCAAAGAAGAAGGATTAGGAGGATCAGTTCCTCAGTCTTCTTAACATGCAACATACTATACATTACATTATTAAATTTAAGGGCATCGCTAGCTATGTTCTCCAAAGACAGATGGGGTATCTCAGTGGTGAAATGTAAAATTTGTTACTACCGGTTCTGTGGGCGTGGCTTGGTGGTGGTGGGGGTAATATGACTGAGTGGGCGTGGCCAACTTTTTTTTTTTTACTTTTAAAACTTTTAAAGGTTGTAAAAAAAATGCTTTTAAAGCCTCTGACGATCCCAGCTGACTTGCCTGATCAGCAGAGGCTTTTTTTCCTTTTAAAAACATTTTTTCTATAACCTCTTCAGTCGAGAGGCTTTTAAAATGCTTTTAAAAGCCTCTGATGATCCCAGCTGAGCCTCACGATCATCAGAGGCTTTTTTTTTTTTTTTTTTTTACATTTCAAAGCATTTTTTCGGCCAAAGAGGTGGTACAAAAAATGCTTTTAAAAATAATTTAAAAAGCCTCTGATTGCACAGCTCAGCTGGGAAATGGGGGAGGGGCAGGGATTTTTGCTACCAGTTCTCCGAACCACCCGCCTCCATCGCTACCGGATCGGGCGATCCGGTCCAAACCGAGAGCATTTCACCCCTGGAGTATCTCCAGTTGTTACAACAGATCGGAGAAAAATAAGATGGGATTCCAGAGATAAAAATAGTGATGGAACCAGAGGTGGTATTTGCCCGAACCGGTAGTGGAAATCGCTGGTGGAAGATTAGCAGGGTAAGAAAAAACAACAACATAGAGTAGTGGCCAAAATTGTGGAAACCTTTTGGGAAAAGTGTATTTTCTAAAACTAGGTCATAACACCACTTGGAGTAGTACCATAACATTATATATCAATGGAAAGATAATTTAATCAAGAATGTAATGCAATAACTTTTATGAAGGATTTGCTGTTAGAATAACAGTTACAGTACAAAGAAGAAAAGTGAAACAGAGAAAATGAGAAATACAAAAATGATCACCATAGCAAAAATGAGATATACAAAAATGATCATCACGTCAGTTAATACTTAGTTGGGTAACCTTTAGCATGAATTACGGCCTTACAACGTCTTCCCATGGAGTGAACCAAGTCTTTGAGTTCTGCAGCTTTTATAATGTGAAACCAAGATTGAAGGTTTGCTTCTATTAACCGGGTTTTACTGCTGGGTCGCTCTGACTAACAAGTTTCTTTAGTCAGCTCCATAGATTTTTCAATTGGGTTAAGAAGATCTGGGCTATTCCCAGGCCATTCCAGCAGTGGAATAGGAATATCTTGAAACTCCAAAAAAAAGGTGGTGTTATTAGCCATCAAACCGCAAAAATACACTTTTCCCAAAAGGTTTCCACCATTTTGGCCACTACTGTATTCCTGTTGCCAGGAGACTAGCAAATCTTTCCAGTGGCTTCTTCAGCCCCATTCAGACGTGCTTCAAACGTGTTTCCAAACACATCTCCAAGAAAACACTTAGCTACCCTTGCTTTCCTTTCAACATATCGCCTGAGTTTATAATTATAATTGTGACTATGCATTTTTGAAAACAGCAATGCGGGCATTTCCTTGCTCGTCCCTGGTTTGCTTTCATCCTGGTAGAAGAGAATATTTGTAGCTCAGGGTTGAATATATAATGATTTGTAATTTTGTGAAGCAACAAAGCCGATGCATCTCCTAAGCATGATTCTCACAGCTTCCAGTGCTTACAACCTCTGGCAAACTTTAAGACTTGCAGAATTCAACTCCCAGAATTCCACAGCCAGCCATGCAACCTCAGCTACGAAAAGACCTAAAAAATGGACCGGGCCAAGTCTCTCCGACGTCTCTTTACACTTGAAGCACTTGTGGTTTGGCAGATCACATGAATCTGATTAATCCCTACTGCTATTTTAATTACACTCACACCTACGAGTCTCGGCATCTCATGCTGCCTCTCCCAATTACGGGAACCGTCAGAACCATTATCTTTAGTTATTAAAACAGAAGGAGGATAATTGTCAGCTCTCCAACGGGCTGTCATGTCTAAATCTGTTTTGGGCTGCTGAAATCGGGGGGCCCGGCAACCAAAATGATCTCGATTTTTTAAGAAAAGAAAAAAAATGGAATCACAACTCGCTGGACGCTTCCAAGAAGAGACCCGGACAGCCATTTGTCAGAAATGGTGTAGGGCAGAGGTGTCAAACACACAAAGATCTGGCTTTGGGGGGCTTCCCTTGGAAACAGCAAAGGACCCGGCGTGTCTCTGTCAGCAAAAATGGGGCCAGGAGGAGCCGGGCGTAGCCCCCACTCCCGCTCCGTTTTGCTGGCAGAGGGCTAGCAAAAGGAGGTTCACAACAAAACAAAAGGAGAAATGTTTCCCCTTTTGCATCTGAGCATGCAAGAAGGGACAGGAAAGGAGAAAAAGGAAAGAAGGAAAAAACAAACAAAAAGATGGGAAGATGGGAAAGAGCCAAGGAAGGAAAAATAAAGGAAAGAGGGGAAGGCAGGAGAATGGAGAGGGAAGGAAAAGGAAGAAGAAGGAAGGAAGGAAGATAGATTATAATGAGAGTGAGGGAGGATCTGAGGGAAGTCCTGTCTTAGCACTTGGCCACCACAGGTGCCCCCTGACATGAGTGACATCGAGCTGGCCACGCCCACCTTGACCATGCCCTCCCAGCCCCCACATGAGGTCCAAAACAACCTTATTGCGTCCCTCAATGAAATTTGAGTTTGACACCTCTGGTGGTAGGGTCTCCTCCTTGGGTGGGGGGGAGGTCGGACTAGATGACCTACAAGTCATCTTGGATGATCAGCCAAATGTCTCCAGTATCTTTTTAGCTCTTCCTTGTGACTCTCCTTACCTTGCCATGGGTCTGGTTGCCATAGCAATGAACAGCATGCTATCGAGACCTCGAGACCCCCCCGTTTTCATGTCGAGAAGACCCGGGTTGGGGTTTTTGCCTGGTTGGAAGCAATCGATTCTGCTTCCAAGGCATGAAAAACAGCGCTTCCTCATTAGCCTCTCAAGCAGAGTCCCGCTGTTCCTCAATTTTCGGTATTTGAGCTTTGGGTCCACACCCCACTTCTCCAGTTCCAAGTGGCAACCCAAGGTTAATCCATAGAGGATTATAGGCGCACAGGCAGCCGTAGAAAGGCAGGCAGGCGTTTAGGCTTTATGGAGAAGCGAAATACCAGCCAGAAGCTTCGGAAGTTGCCCTCCCCATTCGTGGAAGCCTAGAGAATATCTTTGGCCCTTGAAAATAAGAAAACTACAATAGCTTAGACTTTTTTACCGCTTCCTAAGGCTTCTACGCCCCTCTCGAAATCTTGGCCCCCCATTTATCCGGGTCCTCATTTTTTTACCGACCTTGGAAGGATGGAATGCTGAGTCGACCTTGGGCAGAGTTAGCCTGCAATACCGCATATATACTAAGTTGGATGGAAGAAAGAAAGGATGGGAAGGGAAGGGAAGGGAAGGAGGAAGGAAGGAAGGAAGGAAGGAAGGAAGGAAGGAAGGAAGGAAGGAAGGAACAATAGGATTTAGACTATATACCGCTAACACAGCCTCTCTGAACGGTTTTACAGAATCAGATCTTGCCCCCAACAATCTGGGTCTCATTTTTACCCACCTTGGGAGGATGGAAGGAGTGTAACCTTGAGCGTCAGGAATGAACTCCTGGATGTGGGATCGGTTAGCCTGAAATACTGATTCTAAAGTTATTAGGTTGGAAGAAAGGAAGGAAAGGGAAGGAAGGAGGTCGGGAGGGAGGGACGGAAGGAAGGGAGGAAGGAAGGAAGGAATGGAAGGAAGGAAGGAAGGAAGGAAGGAAGGATGGAAGGAAGGAGATATAAATAGACTTATTACACAGCCCTCTCTAAGCGGTTTACAGAATCAGCCATTGCCCCCAACAATCTGGGTCCCATTTTACCCACCTCGGAGGGATGGCTGGAGCCAACCTTGACCTATCAGTATCAAACTGCCGAACTGCAGTCAGCTGGCAGTCAGCAGAAGTAGCCCGCAGTACTGCATTCTAACTACTGTGCCACCTCTAAGTGTATTCCTTAGAGCAGTGTTTCTCAACCTTGGCGACTTCAAGATGGGTGGAGTTTTTGCTGGCAGGGGAATGCTGGGAATCAACGTCCACCCATCTTGAAGTCACAAGGTTGAAAAGCACTGCCGTAGGATCCCAAAATGGCGTGCTGAGGAGCTTTAAAGATGGGGAGCACAGTACAAGGATGTAAATGCAGATTGTCCAAGATGATAGTCAAGAGCGCTTAAAAATGTAGTTTCTACTAGTTCTAGTTCCAGGGGGTCTCTAATTTAATGTTTCATTGTGAAATGAGATCAAATAAATTGTTGCGAATTGCTCCTGAATAGAAAGCATTGTTTTTTAAATCGCAATTAACACATTGGATGCAAAAACGACCGTGTTGAAAAGACTCATGACATTGGAAATAATCAAAATGGAGGGGGGACCAATCCCTTTGCTTTTGTGCCTTGGAGATGACACTTGCTGGTTATGGGGTTGTTGCCCAAGAATTGAGTGCTGGGATGAAGATGCAACCAAACCAAGCTATAGTTGTGGATTATTCAGATTCCTACTTTGAGCTACAAAGATTCTCACAAACGGAAGGCAAATCTGTGGTGTCCCAGGATATTGCAGGATCCAGGGTTAGTAGGGGGACCAAGGGGTTACACTTTCAAACACTTGGGCTCACAGGTGTCTGAAGTTGAAGTCCATGTTTAAGGGGAAAATGTTTGGTGTTGATTTATGAAAGCTTAAATTAAAATAAACCATTGGACCCATTTATTATATGACATTAAATTTTTATAACCGCCCTTCTCCATTTAGGACTCAGGCGGTAAAGTTGTCACAGCGGTAAAATTTTGGCCGTAACTATTAAAAACAGTATTTAATTTAATTTTAAATTAATTGAAGAAAGCCAGCCTGTTGTTAGTGGCTTTAATGGGAAAGATGGTTTTAATATCCGGTGGGAAGGAGGTTGTTATGTACGTTACTCTGGGGGAAGGTGTCTCAAAGGAGGGTGGGCGCTGTCACAAAGAAGGCTCTCCCCCTGGGGGTCGCCAGCCGACATTGTCTGGCGGACGGCACCCTGAGGAGGGCCCACTCTGTGCGAGCGTACTGGCTGGTGGAGGCTATTGGTGGCAGAAGGCGGTCTCGTAAGTACCCCGCCGCCGGCCCTAAGCCATGGAGCGCTAAGCTATTGATGGATCCTACTACAAAGATTATCTTCTATGGCCATGATGGCGAACCTATGGCACGCGGCACCCTCTCTGTAGGCCACATGAGCCGTTGCCCCCAGTTTAGCTCCACTGCGCATGCGTGTGGGCCTCCCGCCGCCAGCTGATCATCGGGTCTCTGCCGTGCATGTGTGGGGGCCGGGATGCATGCATGGGGAGTGGGGCAGATGGGCATGGCTACGCACGCATTGCATATTTGGGGATTCAGGAGTGCGTGCACACATTTGCGCACATGTGCATGTACTTTGGGTACTCAGTCTGGAAAAGGTTAGCCATCACTATTCTATGGAGACTCAGAATTTGCTTTATTACCCAAAAGGCCTTCAAGTCAAGCTTCTTCAGGCTGGGTCTGGAGCAGAGGCGGTTTTCAGCTGGTTCTGACCAGTTCTGGAGAACCGGTAGCAGAAATTTTGAGTAGTTCGGAGAACCGGTAGTAAAAATTCTGAGTGGCCCCGCCCCATCCAGTCTCTGCTCCTCGCAGTCCCAGCTGATCGGGAGGAAATGGGGATTTTGCAGTAACCTTCCCCTGGAGTGAGGGGAGGCAATGGAGATTTTACACAGTATCCTTCCCCTGCCACGCCCACCAAGCCATGCCATGCCCACCAAGCCACGCCACAGAACCGGTAGTAAAAAAAATTGAAACCCACCACTGGAGAGATTTGTGGTTCTCCAGCCATGTTCTCCAGAGAAACCAGCATCTGTATAAACCAATTCTCTGCTTGGGATACCAAAGGCAGCCATACCTATAGTGGGCTGCTGCCAGTTTGCACCGGTTTGCACGAACCTGTAGTTTCGACCAGCAGCTGGGCCCTCCCATTCGCCATCAGTTTTTCGTTGCCGCATGCATATTTCGCGCTCACATTTTTGGTTCTGGGCTTACCGGTTGTTACAGTATGTGACGCCGGCCTCCGGCCGTACCTTAGTGCAATTGGCAGCTTTGGGCTCGAGGTCATTCAAGGTCACCAGCTCCCGAGCAGGCTGCTCTCCTGATAGCCCCCCTTGACCCCTCGCAGTTTGAAGTATGCCTGAGGTCGCTGAAGGATTAGCCTGAGGTTGACAGCAAAGCCTGCCATGTCGATCGCAATGGCCGTGGGTGGATCAAAGACGGTCTTCCATCCATACACCTTCCCCGGCATCGTTTGACTTTGGGGATTCATAACGCAAGCCTCCCACAAAGGCCACCGGCCAGACGGATACTCTGCGGGTGGTCCGCATCTGGAAAACAAGAGGAGAACCACACAATGACCGGACATCCCTTGGATTGGCTCGATGGAAGAGGATGCCATTATGACCACAGTTGGGCAACCGAGGAATATTATCTCTCTGATCTTTCTGACAGCTGAGCACAAGCTCTTCTCCAAGGTGATTTTTTTTCAAGAGGGTTCTAAATCCCATTATCCCCAGGCAACATAATAGTTGGAACTTGCTGGGCACCAGGGTGAGGAAACTTAGCTGAAGCCACTTTAGATACTCGTGCATGCCTTGGGTAAGAAAACAATCACATCCTTTGAGTTTACTGTCCCAGAATATTAGAATTGGAAGTAGAGTTGTGTAGTGGTTCACAAGGGGTGTCCTGAGGATCCCTGAGACTCTTCTCGGGGGTCGCGGTGTTCAAATCCATAACTTAAAAATTTCTTGGCTTTAATTTCTAATACAGTAAATACGGTTAGATTTAACCGGGGTGAAATGCTACTGGTTCGTACCGGTTCGGGCAAACCAGTAGTAAAAAAAAGCTACCAGTTCGTCAGAACCAGTATTTCCGACGATCAGCTGTTCCGCAGAACTTATATTGGCTAGAAAGCAGGAAATCCTGCTTTCTAGCATAAGTAAATTGCGCGGCACAGCTTTTCCTCCCCCTCCGCTGTTCTACTTACCTTGTAAGCCTCTTTTTTCTACACAAAGGATGCATTTGACACGCTGCCGTGCATGTGCAAGCACAGGAGCGCAATCCGTGGCAATCTGCGGAGGATTTCACCACTGGGTTTAACTCACACGAACCAAAATCTTCGATCATTTTTAAAGAACATAAAAGGGTCCCAAGACTATAAGATGTTTTGAGAACTGCTGATCTAGTGGCAATCTCTGCCCAAGGCAGGATCTATTCAAGTATCTCTGATGGGTGACCGATCAACCTTTCTCGAAGACCTCAAGTGGAGGATATTTGTTTATCTGTAGAGAAAGTCTTTTTTCCCTTCATTTTTTTTTATTTTTTATTTATTTATTTATTTTATTTTATTTTATTTCTATACTGCCCTTCTCCTGCGGGACTCAGGGTGGTGTGCCCAAGATAAAACATAGCATATAAAATTTTAAAAAACAGTTTAAAAAACAATTAAATAATTTTGGCCTAAAAATTTAAAACAACCCAATTAAAACCGAATTCAATTAAAAACTGAGAGGATGGATGATCAAGCAGCCCGCTAGATGGATAAGTGTGCTTTCAGGGCCCGACGAAAAGTCCGGAGGTCTGATATCGTGCGTATCTCAGGGGGCAGGTCATTCCAGAGGGCAGGAGCTGCCACAGAGAAGGCTCTCCCCTGGGGGTCGCCAGCCGACATTGTCTGGCCGACGGCACCTTGAGGAGGCCCTCTCTGTGCGAGCGAACCGGTCAAAAGAGACTTAAAAGGTAAAGGTAAAAGGTTCCCCTCACACATATATGCTAGCCGTTCCTGACTCTAGGGGGCGGTGCTCATCTCCGTTTCTAAGCCGAAGAGCCAGCTCTGTCCAAAGACGTCTCCGTGGTCATGTGGCTGGCACGACACAACGCCAAAGGCGCACGGAACGCTGTTCCCTTCCCACCAAAGGTGGTCCCTATTTTTCTACTGCATTTTTTTACGTGCTTTCGAACTGCTAGGTTGGCAGAAGCTGGGACAAGTAACGGGAGCTCACTCCATTACGCAGCGCTAGGGATTCGAACCGCTGAACTGCCGACCTTTCTGATCGATAAGCTCAATGCCTTAGCATCTGAGCCACCAACATTCCCCTTCAAATAGAGACTATACAAAGGTGCATTTCTGAGTCAGCGCAGTGTAGCAGTGAAGGCTGCTGAATTAGGACTGGGGAGAACCCAGGGGTGAAATCCAGCAGGTTCTGACAGGTTCTGGAGAACCGGTAGCAGAAATTTTGAGTATTTCGGAGAACCGGTAGGGGAAATTTTTGAGTAGTTTGGAGAACCGGCAAATGCCACCTCTGGCTGGCCCCAGAGTGGGGTGGGAATGGAGTTTTTTGCAGTATCCTTCCCCAAGCCACGCCCACCAAGCCACACCACACCCACCAAGCCACGCCCACAGAACTGGCAGTAAAAAAAAATGGATTTCACTACTGGGAGAACCCATGTTCTGATCCATCTTCAGCCACAAAATCTTCCTTTTGGCCAATACAAACTATCTCACTATATTGTGGTGGTAATGGTCAAAAATTGAAGGAGCTGCCATGATGAAAGTCACTTTCACATGAATGAAAGCTAGTGTATTAGCCAAAGAAAGGCATGAATAACTCCTTGAATTAGTTCCCATGCTGAAACAGGAAGGAGGAGGAAGGAAGGAAGGAAGGAAGGAAGGAAGGAAGGAAGGAAGGAAGGAGGGAGGGAGGGAGGAGATGGAGGAGAGGGGAAGGAAGGAAGGAAGAGGAAGGAAGGAAGGAAGAAGGAAGGCTAACACCCCTCCTAGAAGAATGAAATATTTTGAGAAATATTAAAAGGGCAGAATATTATATTTCTCTAAAGGAGAAATAGGCTCTTGGAAAGCAGCCTCCACTTCTGCTAATAGCCCCAGCAGGACTGGGCCAGCCTATCTATAAGACAAAAGACCTTCAGCTCCAGGATGATGGGATTAAGACATGACCCTCCAGGACGTTATAGGATTATCTAGCAGCAGAGCTCACTGCATTGCACGATCTCCTAAGGGCATTGCATCACCCAGCAAACTTCAACCAAACTTGACTCAGACAAACATGACCCCACATGGCCCCATGGAGTCTGACAACAGCCAATAGAATACATGCTCTTGCACAGGAACAGGAAGCTCAAGTGCAAAGCCCAAGAGAAGGTATAAATACCCCTCGCTCTCACCCCATGTGTTCAGCTGTGCCAGAGAACCATGTGCTTGGCGGTTCTGCTTCATCATTAAACCATCTTTCCAATCAGCCTCCAGTGTCCCTCCTCTCGACTTGGAAAGAATCAGATGGATATTTCTTCCAACAGAAGGAGGGAGGGAGGGAGGGAGGAAGGGAAGGGAATGGAAGGGAAGGGAGGAAAGAAGGAAGGAAAGAAAGAAGGAAGGAAGGAAGGAAGGAAAGAAGGAAGGAAAGAAAGAAGGAAGGAAGGAAGGAAGGAAGGAAGAAAGAAGAAAGAAAGAAAGGAAAGAAAGAAAAGAAAGCAAGAAAGAAAGGAAGGAAGGAAGGAAGGAAGGAAGAAAGAAAGAAAGAGAGCTCCAGGGGGCTGTTAGAGGAATATGCACCCAACTACTCTACACCCCTTCAACAGAACCTCTCATTCAGAATAGCTAGAAGCAGCTGATTGTTCAGCTTGCTCTTCTCACAGAAGCTTTGCTGGTACTGCTCGTTCTCTGCTCACCTTCCCTCTTCACCTGTCTTTCAGCATTATTAATTACTACAAGGGAAACCAAATGAGCTTGTAGTACTTGCCCTCTTGCATAAACGCACTTACTAAGAGCGCTCGCTACTCACAGTGGGGCAGAAGGACAGAGATGAATAAAGTCACCCGACAGCAGCCTGCTTTCGTGCCTAAGCGGGATTAGAACTCACCTTCTCCTAGTGATTGGCCCAAAGCCACCCAGCCAGCTTTCGTGCCTAAGGCAGGACTAGAACTCACCGTCTTCTGCTCATTGGCCAAGTCATCCAGGAGAACTTTTCTGCCTAAAACACAGTGGTGAGTTGCTCCAGTTCAGCCTGTTTCTATAGTCCAACTATATAGTTCTAGTCCAACTCCCTGCTTAGGCAGGAAACTCTACACCACTTCAGAGAAATGGTTGTCCAATCTCTTCTTAAAAACTTCCAGTGTTGGAGCATTCACAACTTCTGGAGGCAAGTTGTTCCACTGACTAATTGTTCTAACTGTCAGGAAATTTCTCCTTAGTTCTAAGTTGCTTCTCTCCTTGATGAGTTTCCACCCATTGCTTCTTGTCCTGCCTTCGGTGCTTTGGAGAAGAGCTTGACTCCCTCTTCTTTGTGGCAGCCCCTGAGATATTGGAAGACTGCTATCATGTCTCCCTAGTCCTTCTTTTCATTAAACTAGACATACCCAGTTCCAGCAACTGTTCTTAAGATGAACTGGCAAAGCAAGACCCTGTCAACAATTAAACAAGGCTCCCAGGATATTCTTCCAGGAACTTGTTGAAGACCATGAGAAAGTGGAGATGATGTCTACCTGTTCTATTCTTGGACCTCACAACAGTGAGCTTCTGATCCCAGTGTGCTACCTGGAAAAGACTGACTGCATGTAGAACAACTCTGGTGTGTACATTGACAGCTGCATAGGATTCCTGTTCCATCTATCATTGTTAAATCTGACTTTGGGCAACCAGGTACTAAGAGTGAACGGCTTCTGCCAATAACATTTAAGCTCTGTCAAAGGCAGTGGATAATGCTGTAGTAATATATCAAAAGCTCAGTCTTTATATCGGTGTCAACATGCTTCAGATTGCAGGATCCCCTCTGTCCCTAATGCCATCTTAAAGAAGACTGCGCAGCTTGTGCTTCCTTGCAATTCTTCAGAACAGCTTATTTATTTATTTATTTATTTATTTATTATTCGAATTTCTATACCGCCCTTCTCCTTTCGGACTCAGGGCGGTGAACAGCCAAAATAAAAAAATATTATATACATAAGTACGATTAAAAATAGACTTAAAATAATTAAATTTGGCCCATAGTTTAAAATTTATCAATTTAAAATCCATATCAAAATTTAAAACCAACCATAAAATCATAAAATCAAGAGAGACCGGCTAACTGAAAGAGATGAGTTTTTTAGGGCCCGACGAAAAGTCGGAGGTCGGAGATCACTCGTATCTCTGGGGGTAGATTGTTCCAAAGAGTAGGTGCCACCACAGAGAAGGCTCTCCTCCTGGGGGTCGCCAGCCGGCATTGTCTAGCCGACGGCACCCTGAGGAGGCCCTCTCTGTGGGAGCGAACTGGCCGGTGGAGGCTATTGGTGGCAGAAGGCGGTCCTGTAAGTACCCTGGCCCTAAGCCATG